TTGGATTATTTGCTAAGCATACAGATGGAATAAAGTATGATGAAAATATATAACCCTGATGTACGCTTCCTTGATTTTTAAACCACTCAGTGTCCCCTTGTTCTGTTCAAACCACTGTCTTCTTGGTCTGTGTACAGATTCGGCATGAACACATTTAAGAGTTCTGCAACTCCTATTCTTTGCAATGTTATCCATAATTTATAATTCACAGTCATATACCTTTACATTGTTAATAAAATTTAAGTAAACATCTTTCTGGTATTCTCTGCTTTCAGCCAAGATGCATCTGACATAGGGCTATCCAATTGTGCTAGTACCATTTGTTGAAAACATTATCCAAATATAGAAACTTTTGAATTGCCCTGCACCATGTTGAAAGTCAGTTGACTATATGTATGTGTATCTATTTCTGCAGTGTGTATTCTGTTCCATTGGTCTGTCTTTATGCTAATAAAATACTATCTTGATTATTTCAACTTTATAATTCTTGAAATCAGGTAGCGTAAGTCTTCCAACTTTGTTCTTACTTGGAGTTGTTTTGGCTCTTGTAGCCAGCCAGATATATTTTTGCAATTCCATAACTATTTTAGAATTGATTTGTCAATTTCTACAAAGACGATTGCTGGGATTTTGATTCTGACTGCATTTTCTCCCATAGATTGCTTTGGGGAGAACTGACATCGTAACAATATTGAATTTTCCGATCCATGAACATATCATCTCTCAATGTATTTAGGCTCCTTTAATTTCTCTTAGCAATGTTTTGTAGTTTTCAGTGTGTATACCATGCACATTATAGTTTTAAACTGAATTCTTCCTATTGTGAATTAAGTTGAACATCTCAACATATATTTAAGAGCCATTTTTATTTCCTTGGACTTACCTCTACTGTCTAGTCCTTTTTATACCAAAATGTTGGTCTTCTTCTTATTGACTTGTCTATGATATGTGTTGCAAATACTTTTTTCCCAGTTTGTCTGTCTTTTGCCCATATTAGTTTTGTAATATAGAAAATTTTGTTATGTAATCAAATCTGTTAATCTTTCCTTTTGGATTCTGCAGTTTGTGTCATACTTAGATCTTCCTTACTCTTTCAAAGTATCTTTAGCATAGTTTATTCTAGTATTTCATCATTTCATTTTTACATGTCAATCCTTGACTCACTCCAGATTTATCCTAATATAAGATACAGATTGATCTAATTTATCTTTTTCACATGGCTATCCAGTCATCTCAATACTACTCATTGATTTGAGATTCTAACATTATCATATATTAAATTCCTGTATGTATTTGGGACTATTTCTGAACATCCTGTTCTATTCTCTTGATTTGTTTATGTACCAGGATCACACTATTTCAGTTATTAAGGCTTTGTGCTATTTTTTAATATCTGATAGAGCTATTCCTCCTGGTTGGCTAGGAGTTTCTTAATCTGGGGCTGGGTTCTGTGTATGTAATTTGTGGAAGACGGGAAACCTATAATTTCGGGCATATATGCATATGTGGTCTTTTTTTTGGAGAAATCCATAGATTTAATCAGATTCTGAAAGGAATTTATGACTCCAAAAAATTGTACAACAGATTTAGAGGTAAAAAATCTTCAAGGTGATTCTTCATGAGTATTTTTTTTTGTAATCAAATTTTGTTATGAACTGGATGTAACTGGAAGATGCATGAGAAATGGTAACACTGGTAGTTATAAGATGGGAACTGGTGGTAAGGAACAGAGGTGGAGGGAGACTTTGTTATTGTACCCTTTCATGTCTTTTGAGTTTTTTTTTTAATTGTGATTTGGGTGAAGATTTACAGAGCAAATTCACTTTCCATACAGCAGTTCACATACACAATGTCTCATGTCATTGACTACAGTTTACCACAATGCAACAGCTCCCCTCCCACCTCCTCCCCACAGTTACCTCTTCCCAGTGTCCATCCCTCCATGGGCTCCTGTCCCCTGAGCTGTCTCCCTGTGCATAAGCAGCCCTTCTTTCTCCCATGCTTGTTCTCTCCAAGGAGTGCATCTACTTGAGGTAAATGGTCAACTCATATGCCTGTCTTTTGTTTGTCTGGAAACCAATTCCAGACCTGAAGGGCAGCTAGGGGCCATAGTCTCAGTGGTTCCACCCGGCTCTATCAGTGTCTTTTGAGTTTTGAACCACATGATTGTATTACTTTTTTTAAAAAACAAAAACAAAAACAAACTAACTCCAGATGGATCAAAAATTTAAATGTGAAACCTAAAATTATAAGTTCATCAAAGAAAAAATAGGGGAAACTTAGAGGCCCTAATTTATGTCATGAATAGACCATCAAGCATAACCCAAAATGCACAAGGAGAAAATAAACTAGATAATTGGGACCTTCTACAAATTAAATACTTACATACATCAAAAGTCTTCTCCAGAAGAGTAAAAAGACAACCTACAGATTGGGAGAAATATTTGGCAACAACATACCTGACAAGGAACTTATCTCTAAGATTTATAGAAAACTCTAGCACCTCAACAACAAAAAGACAAGCAATCCAGTTTAAAAATGAGCAGAAGACACGAACAGACACTTCATCAAAGAGGATTCAGATGGCCAATAAATGCATGAAGAAATGCTCACGAGCATTAGCCATTAGAGGTTTGAAAATCAAAACAACCATGAGATACCATCTCGCCCCAGCACTGATAGCAAAGTTCACCAAGACAGAAAATAACAAATGCTGGCGAAGATGTGGAGAGATTGGGACTCTCATACACTGCTGGTGGCACTGTAAAATGAGAGAACCACTGTGGAAATCAGTATGGCTCTTCCTTAAAAAGTTGGAAATAGAAATACCATTTGATCCAGTAATCCTGTTACGAGGTATATATCCTAAAGAAGTGAGAGGCAGGACACAAAGAGATATATGCACACCCATGTTCCAAACCTACTGCCACCGAGTCGATTCCAACTCATAGTGATCTCCATTGGGTTTCTGAGGCAGTAAGTCTTTATGGAAGTGGATTGCCCAATCTTCCTTCTGCGGAGTGGCTAGTGGGTGTGAACCATCAACCTTCTGGTTAACAGTCAAATGCCTTAGGCAATTCACAATAGCAAAGAGATGGACAAAACCTAAGTTCCCATCAACAGAAGAATAGATAACCAAACATAGACACAATGGAATACTATGCCACACTAAAAATAATGTAGAATCTGCTAAAGACTGTATAATGTGGATGAACTTAAGTCAGTCACAGAAGGACAAGTATAGTTCACCATTATAAAAAGTCAAGGAAAGGTTTACATATGGACAGATACTTTCTTTGTTGGTTACCGGGGAGGGGAGGAGAAACTGCTAGATAGGTAAAAGACAAGTATTGATTTGGGTGAAGGGAAAGGCAATATGCCAAATTAAGTGACCACCACAGTAACACTAAAGAAAAGGAAGACAGAAGTGCACAAGAGGTACAGACAACAAAGATAAAAACTTTTACATATACGTGTTATCAATGACAACAAACATTAATCCGTGAGTAAATAGATGGGTAGATGGGCTGAATGATCAGGTATGTCTAGGCAAAAGGGAATATACCCATGATCATATATAAGGTTGGCAGATATTTCTACATATGTGTGTGCTGTAAGAATGTCCATATAAATAGAACTAACAGGGCAAAGTGTTGGTAACTTCTTAGACACAGTCAACCACCCTGATGGAGTGAGTTGTTGGACCTGTGGGCTTGGCACCATGGTCACAGGGGGACATCAAGCTTCATTGGCATAACATAGTACACCAAAACATTGTTCTACATCCTACTTTAGTGAGTAGTGAGTGGGGTCTTAAAAGCTTGCAAGTAGCCGTCTAGATTGAACAATTGGTCTCTCCTCATCCAGAGCAAAGAAAAATGAAGAAAACCAAAGATGCATGGAAACAATTAGTCCATAGGACTAATGGACCATGAACCTCTACCTATATGACCATGAGACCAGAAGAACTAGATGGTGCCCAGCTAACCACTTTCAGCCACTCAGAAAGGGATCAGTGCATGAGATCCTGGATAGAGTGGGAGAACAATGTGGAGCAAAAGTCAAAAGCATTTAAATAAAACACAGGTTTACTGGTCTGATAGAGCCTGATGAGACCTCCAAGACTATGGTCCCTAGATACCCTTCAGGTCTGGAATTGAACTTACTCCATGGCTTCCAGCCAAATAAGAGATAGGCATATGGGGTGAACATTTACATCAGGTAGATGCACTCCTTAGAAAAATAAATCATGGGGGAACAGAGGGCATAGTGGGAGAACAATGTGGAGCAAAAGTCAAAAGCATTTAAATAAAACACAGGTTTACTGGTCTGATAGAGCCTGATGAGACCTCCAAGACTATGGTCCCTAGATACCCTTCAGGTCTGGAATTGAACTTACTCCATGGCTTCCAGCCAAATAAGATAGGCATATGGGGTGAACATTTACATCAGGTAGATGCACTCCTTAGAAAAATAAATCATGGGGGAACAGAGGGCAGTATTTGCACAGGGAGATAGCTCAGGGGTCAGCAATGCTTAGGAAAGAAAGACACAAGGAAGAGGTAACTATAGGGAAGAAGTAGAAAGAAAGCTGTGACATTGCAGGGAATTGATGGCACCTAACAGTCAATGTCATGAAACAATGTGTATGAACTGCTATATGGAAAAAGAATTTGCTCTGTAAACTTTTACCCAAGTAAAAAAAAAAAATGATAATGACCAATCAGATGTGTCTTATAAATTGCCTCAAAAATGAACTCTGTGGAAAGAGAATAATTTTTGGTTTTCTATTATGAGCTTTTTTATATTATGGGCATAATCCTGGTTTTTTGCCAGGTGGCTGCCCTCCACACCATTACCAGCATCACCTCTGAATCTGATGTTTTTGTAGTAAAAAATGAAATGTAGTTGTGTGAGTTAAGTGAAATAATATATGGAAAGCATCTAGTACAAATGTTAGTTCCTTCTTTTCTCAACCTTATTTTTTTTTCCCTTTACAGGGAGTCTGAAGATACAGTATTGCTGGTCCTTAAAGAAATCTACCAAACCCAGGGTATCTTCCTTGATCAGCCTTTACAGTAAAATGACCCGTTTGTGGCTGCTTAATGTAAGTTTTTAATTGTCACGTATCCAGGATAGTCCACAACATTTCTAACATGTTACAAGAAACTATGGAGCCTCAAACTCTTTATAAACATACTTTGCTGATGTCTGTCACTAATATCTAGGTTATTGTTCAGTTTTTGGACTCTGGTTAAAATTCATGAGGAAAAAGCACAGTAGCTTACTCAGGAATATTAGTGTATGTCCAGACGTTTTGTGAGTGATTTTGTCTAACGCCACCTGATATTTTCAGTATTAAACTCAGAATCTTAATAATTCTGACCATGAAAACATTACCATGGTAACAGTGAACAACTGAAATCACAAACAGCCCACCCTACAATTTAAACTATTCGGCCTTTTAGATGTGCACCTAGATTGTGTGCCAGGCTCTGGTATCTCCCCAGCCTGCCTTCCATTGTGACAGCCTGCTGACCTTTTTCCCCCACTCTCTTCCCTAGACAGACATTGAAGGATCCTTCCCCAGAAAAATCCACCTGTTTGTTGCTGCAGTTTTCCTCTCCTCAGCTGCATCCATTTCTTGCATGTTGCCTGGCACTTACTCTTCTTTGGAAGATAATCTTTCTTTGGGGAAGGGAGTGGAAAAGCAAAGGGAAGATCTTATTACTGGTTTTGTTTAAACACTTGCCATTCTTCATGACTGGGTGTGGTTTGCATCTTTAATTCTTCGATGATAGTGTACTGGTGCCGCATTTTGCTGCTTTATTCCTTGAGGAGGTATAAATTCTGTTTTGGGTTTGACTTATTTTTGGTTAGGTAGGAATTTTCCTAGGAAATGATTACTTACTTTTAGAAAAGCTTAGTTTGAAAGCAGATTCTTGAGATTCAGAAGGCATTTTTGGGATACACTCATCCTTCACTGGCGTATACACTTGAAGACTAAGTCTAAGTGGCTGTAGAAAAGGTTTTGCCACACAGGCAATTTTTTAAACCAGCTGTTCTTTCCCATGTGTACTGGATGAAGAAAGACTAGAATGTAGCTGTAAGAGTATTGTTTCCTCTCTGCAGATCCATGACTGAGGAGTTTATTATTGCTAGGAATCACTGACACTGTTGATTGTCTTTATGTTCTTTGAGCTGCTATAAGAATCTAAAGTGGATTTAGTTCACATCAGATGCATCTTTATAAAGCAAAGATGTTATTATCTATCCCAGGCCTATCATTTTATATCATACTTCAAATTGGGACATTCAAGGTGAAGTTTGACTTAGTTATTTGATAATATCTTCTATTCATATCTTTAGGGTACAGTAACAAGAGCTGAGAAATTGAAAAAACACAGCCTTGACTGGCCATTAATTATAAATACTATCTTTTAGCAGTGCCCTTATGGTGAAACAAAACTTATGTATATAAGTTTCCTGTCATGCCCACTTGGGTGAAGGTGGTATTGTTTGTGCTCTTTAAAATATTTTGTAAACATCATTGCTTTCTTAGGTCCCCATAACCCAAAATGCTTATTTAAAAGGCACTTGGCATGGGCAGTGTTGGCTGAGCAGGTGGATTTGGCTGGAGGAAATGTCTCAACTTGTTCTGAAACCACCTGTGCTTATCGGGTCCCAGGAACAGCTCTTGCAGGATCAGTTCCAGCTGAGTCTGGAACATGCAGAGTAAGGTGGACCTTGAAGAAGACAGGTGACTGTAGGCTAATTTTTTTCAAGATAACCTGCTCACCACTTTGCTGTAGGTATTTTCTCCCTCATTGGTCAGAGCTAATCATTATCTTTGCAGTTCTCTTTGGGATGGTCTCCAATCTCCACAGGCCCGTTTATAGTAGCATAGGTAGACAAACCGTGTTGTGTTTTTTCATAAATTCTTTCTGTACATGTATCATGGTATCCAAAGTACTGGCAGCTATTAATCACTTGAGCCATCCCTTAGGCAGGTAGGGTGATCTTTATCCCTTTCTGGAAAAGGAAGGGGAGGTTAATTACTGTCAGCCTGGAGATGGTGAAGGGGAGGTTGGGGTATAGTCAGAGCCTGGGCTTTCCTTATCCATCTGGTTATTGACTAATGCTGACTAAGCCACTAAGAAGTTTCAGAAAAAAGCAACGTTACACTTTCCATATGATTTAATCCCGAGCTTCAAGTTAAGGGTTGCTGAGAATGAAGCAGCACTCACTGTATGTTAAGGGAAAGCTTTTTTCAAGCTGCTGTCTTCAAATCTAAAGTTACTCTTTGTATTAGCAGAATAGGTACTACGTAAGAGTAAACCAAAGGACAGGCAAGAACAAGTCTCTGCAACCAAAGACAGACAGCATGACCCTGGACAGGTGGACAGGCCGCTTGTACTGATGGTGGGGAGGGGTGGGTACTGGGAAAAGAGCTTTATATCTTATCCATCCACCTGTGTTATTATTATGGGGTCATGAGCTTGATTTAAATCTTTTATTTAGTTGTATATTATTTGCACTATTTCAGTTGTATCGTGCAATCTCTTGACCAAACCTACTTTTAAACTCTGGTACAGCATTATTTTGTACATAATCCCAGCTGCAGAATTAATATTGCTTATTTCAGCAAAAGATATCATTTGCATGGGAAGATTAATAGCACTGATTAGCTTTCTAATATTTTGCACTTTTGAAATGTTTCGTTTTTTACATGATTATATTTAAAACTTTAGTAAATACTGAAATAAAACTCTGTTGACCAGTTGCCTACTTTTACCTGGCTTCATCCATCATAAACAAAATTAATACAGTAATTGTTCTGGTTACCTAGTGCCACTCTGACAAGAATATACCTCAGATGTGATAGCTTTAACAAACAGGAGTTTATTCTCTTACAGTTTGGGAGGCTAGAAGTCCAAGTTCAAAGTGCCAGGCTCCAGAGGCTGTATGAAAGCCCCTCAATCTTGGGCTTCAGCTCTGCCTCTTGCTCCCGGCCCATTGAAGCTAGAGGCATCTCTTCACTCAGGCAGCTACTGGCTGCTGAGGCTAACAAGTCCAAGGTCGACAAATAAAAAGGTACATTCCCAATGTTACCAAACCACATGGCAGGCCACTAACTCAAGTCCATTGAAAGTCCCAAGGTTGGCATAGCATGGCAGGCTGCTGAACAATGACATGGCTACATGCAGGGTCCAAGTGTGCCATAGGCTAGAGACCATTTCCAAAGCTGCTGCTTATATATGGGAAGCAGACCACATACCCAAAGGCAGCTATTCAGCTGCTCACAGTAGATTCCACCATGGAGTTGATTACCAGTCTCATCATGGGGAATACTACATCTAGCTGCCCAGCCAAGTTGACACACAAACTTAACCACCACAATAACCATTTTCTTTTCCCCTGTGTATTACTAAAACAAGTTTAAAAAAATAAAAGTTTTGGGCAAAGAACTAATATTTTTGAGTTCTTTTCCCTTGACTGGTGTTCATAATTTAAAGCATGACATGTCTAAGGTAAATAGTTAAGACAATCCTTTAGTATTGATAAGCATCAGCCACTACCACAGAAAATATGGTTGAATCACTTCTGTCAGATGGGGAATGTGGTGTTGTACTTTGAAAATGTTCCCTATCCCTTAAGTGGTACTTTAAGTACAGGCAGGCCCTGGGTTACAAATGAGATCTATTCCTAACTCTATCTTTAAGGATTTGTAGGTTAGTTGGACCAGGTGCATATGGTTCTTATTTAGGCTTGCTTTAGGACAGGAAAGGGCTCCAATCCTCTTCAGTAATTTAAAAGCTGTATGTGCAGCAAGTGAGAGACTGGGATGGATAATTTGTTGTGAGCAGGGGTTGATTCAATCATTTCAAAGTGAGAGGAAATTTACATAACATTAAAGGAGAGCTTCAAAGATGGCAGTGCCCCACTCAAAGATGGCAACCGACTGCACTTCTTCAAATGTGTATGGTTCTCCACAGTCCTGCCAATAATCCTGTCTCATGCATTAGGCTCCTGAAAGGGCTCACTGTACCTCTTCCAAGTCTCCTGTTCCAGGGCTTTGACTCATAATTTTTCCAGTTCTGGTTACCACTGATGAATTACCCAAATTGTAAAAATTGTGATCTGTTCCTGTTTCACTTCGTCAGTCATGACAGAACCAGTTCAAAGCCCTGCATTAAAGGGCCCCAGCAGTTGTTGTCCGAAAAGTTGGATGTTCATAACCTGGGCACTGCCTATACAAGAAAAATCACATTTAATTAAACATTGAGTTTCCTACTGAAGGAAGAGAGATGCATTGAAAATATGTCATAGGAAAAAAAAAAAAAAAGCAAGGTGATACTGAAGTATAATCAGAGTAAAATAGGTGTAGGTCTCATATCATCAGGCCTGATGAGATCCCACAACTGCTCATGTGCTGTGTGAAAAGAGGACAGAAGATGCATTTGTCCTCCAGATACGTTTGTAATTTTCCTTTTCTGTCACAGCCAGTTGGCAGAGTTGGTGCATTTGAGCAGCTCTTCAGTAATGAACATAGGGAAAGCAGCTCAAGAGCCACAGTGGAAGGGGAAACGAGGTAGAACAAGTGTCCACTTTTAGCACTGAAACCACACTCCTGGTCATTTTCTTCTTTTTTATTGTGTTCACTTGCAGATTGGTTATGCCCATAATATTCAAAATAGACACTAATATAAGGCTGGACTGAGATCAGCTAGGTATAACAGCGATAAATTAGCCAAAGTCAGACATTTTCCTATTTAAGGCTTGATGAAATTCTCACCACAGAAGGTAAACAGAACCAAAGTAATGTAGTTGTTCATGCCCTAGATTTTAAGATTTTCAGCTATGGAAAGTGGAAATTAAGTTTTGATAATTTCACTCTAGCTTCAAGTATAAAGAAGGGCTATGGCTATGTAAAAGCCTTTTTTTGTGACAAGATCTTTCGAAGAATGACATTTAAATTAAATGTGAAAATACTGTAGATCTGGGGGTTCCCATCTGAACCAGATTCATAAGCTTTTGGAGGATTTCAGAAAGACCTGTTATCAGAATGTGTGGCGCACTCTGTGGGAAGGGACCTTGGCTCCTCACAGTGAATCCACATTAAGCAGGTGCCAAACTCTGTCATCATTGGAATGCAGCCTGGCGTGAGTCCTCCCTTTGTCTCTTCAGAGGTAAAAGGTTAGAAACTGTGCCTTGTGCCTGGTCCACTTAGGAGGGGCTGATTCATCTCCACTAGTGTAGATCTAGTTTCTAAACATCAAAACGATCAAGGTCACCGGGCTTCTTCCATACTGTGGGAAGTTCAGGTTTGTCCTGAAATGGTCGGTGGCATTCTGCGTCCGTCAGTGGAGGATAATACTGCCTGTAGCAGATGTAGGCAAAAGTCAGGCCAATCATGGATCCAACTAGGACATCTGAAGGGGGGAAGAGAGAGCATCTCTTAACCATAGTGGATTCCTGAAGTTACCTAAACACCACATAGTGTAGAGGACTTGGCCCTCCAGGGTACTCTACTCAATGGGGCCACAAAACCCCCATAATTCAAGGTTTCTTAGTTTTACCACATAGTGACCGCATTATCATTATTGGGTTGTCAGTTCTCTAAACATCAAATCAAAACATTTCTTCACTTAAGTATAATAAACCTTGTTCAGAGTACGCTAAATTACAGTTGTTGTTAGGTGCCGTGGAGTTGGTTATGACTCATAGCAACAAAGAATGAAACACTGCCTGATCTGCGCCATCCTCGTAATCATTGCATTCGAACCCACTGTTGCAGCCACTGTCTTTTATTGAGGGTCTTCCTCTTTTTTCGATGACCCCCCCCTTTACCAAGCATGATGTCCTTCTCCAAGGAATGGAAAGCTCCTGATCACATGTCCAAAGTATGAGAGAAGTCTCAGTATTCTCCCTTCTGAGGAGCATTCTGGCTGTACTTCTTCTAAGACAGATTTGTTCATTTTTCTGGCAGTTGATATTCTTCACCAACATTGTAATTCAGAGGCATTCATATTAGAATTTGTTAATTCAGAAGATTAATTAAGGGGCGCTTGATGCTATTAAGCACACACACACCCTTTTTTTTTTTAAACTGTTTAGAGTTCAAGGAGAGGGGATAAACAAACTGCTCAGGAGTTAACTCAGTTTACAGGACATTTTTCTTTAAAACAGGGCTCCCTGAGGGTGTCTGGGCAATACTGTTAACTGGGAATTACGGGATTTGTTTTAATTAAAATTTCATGTTTTCTTGAATTTTACTTGTTTCTGAACAAAATCTCATGACAATGAACTTTTTATTTAAGAGTAAGTTCAACTTTGAGGTTTGTTTTTAAAAACTTCTTGTAGATGGAGTTTACTCTGAATTTATGGTGCTTCAATTAGGAAGCCTCTTCTGGTGGTTCAAACCCACCAGCCACTCCTTGGAAGGAAGGTTGGGCAATCTACTTCTGTAGTGATACTGCCTCAGAAACCCAAGGAGGGGTTGCTATGAGGCAGGTCTGACTCGACAGCACATAACAACCACCACTTTAGTAATCTAAGATAACTGTGCTTTCTCATCCACATAGATACCAACATCTATTTAGTCCAGAGCCCAGAGGAGCTCCCCTGTGCCCAGTGCTGGGGGTAAAGAGATGAGTGAGACATAGAGAAACTCCTGTGGCATGAACAACTTGCTCACCTTGCCAGTGATGCTTGTAGTCACATGTGCGGGAGAGTGCAATCATAGCTGCAAAAAACAGAGGTGACAGAAAGGCACAGAACCTCCAGGATTTCCCACGGCCTTGTGGTGTGAAGCAGTGTAACTTCCCTGCCAGGTAGAAGGAAGCAAAGGCCAGGCCAGCAAATGCAACTAGAACAGGGAAAACCTATTAAGTATATGCCTTTTAAAGGAAAGTACCTCACTGGTCTCTAAATAGTAGGCAGGGGGTATGAACATGTTTTCTTTCTTGTCTGTTTCTTTTGTGGATCATCAATTATGAGGGAGAAGGAAACAAAAGGAAAAATGTGAAGGACTTTGTGTCCCAAAGTTCATATTTTACCTGAAAATACGTTTCAGAATGCTAGCTATATGACTTTGGGCAGGTTACTGAACTTTTCGGTGCTTTAGTTTCCTCATCTAGAAATGAGAGTAATAAAAACAACTGTACCAACCTTAGTGGGCTGCTGTGAGACCAAATAAGAACCTAAGGTACTTTTCACAGTACCTGGTACGTAAACAAAACAAAACAAACTCCCTGCCGTCGAGTCGGTCCTGGCTCATACTGACCCCTCCTTGGGTTTCCGAAGCAGTATCATTACGGAAGTAGGTTGCCCAACCTTTCTTCCAAGGAGTGGCTAGTGGGTTTGAACCACCAGCCTTCTGGTAAGCAGTGAAATGCCTTAGGCACTATGCCACCAGAGTTCCCACCTGGAAAACAGTAATTCTTTATTAAAGGTATTTTTATGACTATTACAATATTCCAGGATCTATACAAACAAAAAATTAACAGAAGGTCTCATTTGTCCTTGAGTATTTACCCTAATTGAGGCTCAGGCTTGTAAAATCCTATTAGGTGCTGTTGAGTGGGCTCCGACTCATAGCGACCCCACGTACAGAAGGAAGCACTGCCTGGTCCTGTGCCATCCTCACATTTGTTGCTATGCTCGAGCCCACTGTAGCAGCCACTGTGCCATTCCATCTCATTGCGGGTCTTCTTTTTCTCCGACCCTCTATTCTACCCAGCTTGATGTAAAAATCTTAAGAGTTATCAAAGAAGGGAGGGGCAGTGGGGCATTCTCCAATTTCTAGATATAAGTAAGAAAAGTAGTCAGATGTTTCCATCTGCACAAGCTTCCTAGGTTAAATTCAGTGATCCAAAAATAAGGATAGAAGTAGAGTTGATATGCTGTTCGTACAAGAAGAATGTCCACTAGGAAAGCTCTTGCGGCCCTCATTCACCACATCCTTGTCGCCTGTGCACATCAGGTCAGAATGGGCTTGCCCATCAGGGAAGCAGCGGTAGAAGAAATCTGGGCGTGGCCTGGAAGAAGTAAGCACGGTGTGAACAGATCCATTTACAATTCCAAAAATTAGCTCTTAGTGTCATCAGACATCAAAAACCCTGTCAAAAAGTATCCCAGGCAAAATGATGTCACTGCTTTAGGACACTCACCACACTAATAGAAAAGCATTACTTCCAGGGTTAAGAAGTTAGGGGAGTGGGGCGGTGGGGGTGGGGGGGAAGCACCACTCTAGCACATAATTATTTTTAAGAGCAAACAGTGAATAACACTGCAGTTTCAAGGGGTGCTCATGAGGACAGACTGCTGTGGCCGTCAGTGGGAAATGCTGTCCAAAGCAGAGACAAGGCCAAGTGCAGTGCATCCTACAGGACTGTGGCAGACGGAAAGGAGGAAATGTTAAGCGAGAAAGATTAGACTGAGAATAAAGGAGAAATACGTGTGATGGAATGCATGAATTCTCTTCTGAAGGGGCTGAGGTAGATACAGAGGTGGCAAATAGAAGGATGGTTAATTCTTGGCACTTACCTCCCCACTATCAGTTTCACTGTATTGGTAAAGACACCATTCAGAGCCAGGGCAAGGCTGGCAGCTGGAAAGCAAAGGAAGTTACTGTTTTGCTGTCTCACAGGACAAAAGTGGGGTACATAGAGGGCTGTTGGCTGCTGGTGAGTTGGCTCACAAACCATGGCAACCCTTGACTCACGGTGACCCCATGCAGAGTGGGTCTGGACCATTGTGGTCCATATTATTTTTTCATTGGCTGATTTTTGGTAAATCATTAGGCCTTTCTTCTTAGTCTGTCTTAGTTTGGAAGCTCTGCTGAAACCGGTTCAGTACACAGCAGCATGGAAGCGGGTGGTGGCTGCACTTAAAATGCATTGGCTAGAAACTGAACCCAAGTCTTTTGTATGGAAGGTGAGAGTTACACCACTCAACCACCACTGCTTTCACAGTTACTTTAGGAATGGAGAATTCTGTGGCCTCCACACAACTACATAGGAAACAATACTAGGCAGTAGGAGTTAGCTCTTACCGAGGCAGGCTTGTCTGCTGTCTGTTGTGTCTGCCGCCTTGAGATATTTGGCCAGAAGGATCAGTGACAGAGGAGAGAGAAATGCAATGACCTGAACCAGAGTATGTCAAAGGTAAAAAAAAAAAACCTAATCGTTAAAGCAGCTATTACAGGGAGGAGGGCAAAACTCAGATCAGCCCTAACAGTTCCTGGAAATAGAGGTCCATCTATGGGGTAACTGATAGTTCCACCAGGTAAATAAAATTATCACCTATTATTCAAAATGACCAGTCACCTCAAGGACCTAAAGAACAAAGCTAACAGAACATGTCCCTTGAGCCAAAAAATAATCTAATTCCAATCTTAACCATTTTGGAAACAAAATCAAGAAAGGGAGCAGTAAGTTTCCTACAAAGATCATTTTGGAGATAACAACGACCATCTTCCCTTAAGCACAGAATAAGGGCCAGAAGGGATACTTCTCCACTCACAAACATCGGCTTGGTAGGGAAGTATTCCGCTTCCACATACGGATTCCGGTAAAGCCACATCTCCTCTGGCTGGATAAGCCTCTGGAAGGGAGGGAGCAGCTCTGTCACCCTAAAGGGGAAACAAAAGCGAACAGCACTTTGTCTTGCTGCTTCTCCTACCAGGACCGCAGCTCCTCCTAACTGAAAGCCCCTGGCCCAGGCCTCCGGGTTTCTCCACGCGGGTGCCATACGGAGGGTGGGGGAGGAGCACGCTGCTCAGCGGCCTCTTCAAAGGCAAGACGATGCCAGCGCCCTTGGGCCAGAGCTGCAAAGCGCTTACAGGAAGGCCGCGAACAGTGCGATCCTCACGCCCACCTCGGCCGCCAAGGCCACTGCCGCAGCTGCCGCCTTCCCCATCCCGCCCGTACTTCCGGGCCGACGCCGCGCTGACGTGGCCGCGAGCGAGGAGGAGACGCGGGATCGGGGTGGGGTGGGGTGGTTGGGCAGTGTGCGGCCCCCGCGGGCAAGGAGTAAGCCTTCTAGTCCCCAGCAGGTAAGCAATCCAGTGGGACTGCTTTGTTCCGAGGGGACCACCTAACAAAAGGAATGAGAAGCATGCAATTTTGTTCATCTTTAGTGTCTAGCCGAGCAGACCTTTGGAACCAATCGGATGAAAGTGAGTATCTCCCCATTTATGCCCTTCACCTCCTAGCAGGCGCCTAGGTTTTCTTACGCCGCCACACCGAAGCAAAGAGCAGCATTCTGCAAGGATCTTTCTTTCAAGTATGAAAACCAAACCAAACCCTACTTTTCTGGATTCAAGTTTCTTCTTAAGTAGCACAGCAGGATTTTGAAGGACGATGTATTTAGCTCTCATACAGGACTTCACTGTGGTGCAGACCTCACTTGCTGAGGTTGGTTATTCAGCCACCCCCACCCACCTATCCAATGGTGGTCTTTTGCCCAGTAAGTTGTAGCAAGAAATTACAAAGAACAAACATGTCCACATCTTTAATTTGGAACATACAGGACAATTTATTGAAGTCAATCTCAAGCAAAATCTGAAATCAGTGGAATGTCATTAAAAATCTTTCCAAATTAATCCTCACGGAAGCAAAAAACACATTTGAATTCCAAAGTATTTGTAAAATAAAAAAGGCAACATTTCAGTAAATATAATGTACAAAAATTATATGTTCCTACCAGCACACACATCAGTAAGAAGCTTAAATATTACAGGCAATCCTAAATACTATAACTAGTCAACAATAAGCTGTTTATATACAGGTTAACCAAGCTTTACACATTTCACACTATGCATTGAAACATAGGCCAATCAACAAAATCCTCAAAATATCATATATCTTGAAGTCTATGCGGCAACATCAAGTCATTATACAGTAATGCCCTAGTGGAACACCCCAGGGAAGAGTAACACTAATCTGTTAGTGTCAAGAGCTTCTAGCCAAGTCACAGAAACTCAAAAGAGATTGACTTTAGTGAATACTGATGCTTTGTTATTAAAGACTCAAGTCTCAAGTGATTTAGGCAAAATAACATTTCACAGGATCTACAAAGTTTATTACAGATAAACAAAGTACAGAAATAACCAATCTACAAAGGTCATTATCATAAAGATCACAAGGAAATGAAAATGGTATCTGTAGGTATCTGTGTGTGTTGTGCAATATCACTCAATGTGGATACAAATGAATTTCTCATATCAACTCCAAATATGCACACTCTTGTATATAAAAAGACAATCATTATTAGCCAGTTGTAATCACCATTTACCATCTTGGTTACCAGTGGCAATATGAGTTTTCTTTTTTAACATAGGATATGTGACAGGGCAAATGAGATAAAAAGCAGTATTAATGACAACAAAGTAAAAAATTTTATCCAGTCCACTTCTAAACTGACAATACTTTATAAATACCTTCCACAGGTAATCTGAGGGATACTTGAGAGCCATTCGCCACCTATCAGCAGTCTGTGAGGCAGGCAGGGAAGGGGAGCCCTGGGACTTAGCAACACTTAGCACACACAGTGAAGTCACATAAGAAAAGTTAAGGATGAATTAAGTGACTGGCAAATATTCTTTTTTTCCTTAAAATTACTTGCACGTCTTTTAAAACCTGCTGAAAAATAATTCTCTTCCTCCTTCCCCTTCATATGTGTCACAACCACCTGAACTTGTCACTTAAGCAATGGACTGACAGAAAGAAACAGTTTTTGAAACATACAGGTTACATCCAGCATTTCAGGAATGTAACATTAAGTGCAATCCCTCCCACCTGACACTGGCATGTTTTAAAAGAAGAAGTGCTTAGGGACAGGGTTGACAAAATGACAAAAATGATGCGTAGAAATATCCATAAAATGCTGCTGGCATCTCATGCAGAGGGGTTCCCCTTTCTCAAATGTGTACATTGAATCTGAGTTATCTACCCTAAACCTCCCGTTGGCAGAACTTCGCCTTCAACCCAAGTTAAAGAGGATAAGAGACTAGGATATTAATTTTCAAAATAATATACAAAACAATGCTTTCTACTTCATAAATTTAAAGAAATAACTGTGAAATGAGAATCTGAGGAGTTTCAAGTACTTAAAAAACCTGAATTCAATGAGGCAGAGGTCTCAATGTTAAAGTGACTACTTCGTACCTGTGGTAAACATTATTGTTCCCCTCCCTGACCCTATTATAACCCCCCTTTTCTCTCTGTACCCCACCCCAGATAAAAGTTGATAAGATTTCAGTATATACACATTTCTAACTTTTCAATATTAGCTAATTCATGGCAAAGCTGTCTAAATGTGTCTATTTCCTATCTCACCTGAAAATGGAAGTGAGTTCTACTTTTTGTTTACAAACAACCAGATAACAATTCTTGGTGGCTAGGCCAAAGGAAGCTGCTCCACTTGATGGCTTCCTGTCTGTAGCAATTGACAATTTGGGGATGGCTAGAAGCATCAGCCTTGTAGAAAGTGATTCAAGTCTAATCTGCACTGTCCAGCAGTAGAACAACTTTCCATATACAATGCACCTCTTATAGAAGGAAGTCAGATGCAAGCTTCCCAAGCTATAAGGACGCCCCAGCACCTTGCTTGCTTACCCTTTTAGGGCACTGCGTGTGGCAGAACCTTGACTTTACGGCAGATGCTGAAGGAAGAGCTCTGTTTTTAAAAAACGAAATGAAAGAAGCAACAATATCCTGGGCCATCAGAGATTATATTCTTTATAGATGGCATTTCTGTTTTACAAACTGAATCTGACCCTGATTCGAGCACAAACTATGCAAAAAAAAAAAAAAAAAAAAAAAAGACTCGAAATTCTATTTCATGAACCAGGGAAGAAAGTTGTCTAACAGCCTGCCCTACTGAGAGTCCTTTACACAATTAGATAATATTTCATTTCCATATTATTTACAGGCATGTTTCCAAGTATTCTGTGGAAATGGCAGAAGGGCGCTGGAACTAAGTCCTGCCCCACCATCATTTTTTCTCTTTTCTTTTTTTTTTTAGTTTTTAGATATGTTCCTGACTTGAGCACACAGAAATCTCCAAGTTTCAATGACTCTAAAATTCAACCTAATCTATGGTTTTCTGTGTGGCGTCCAATAAATTCCAACTCATAGTGACCCCATGTGACGGAGCAGAACTGCCCCACAGGATTTGTTTGAAGGGTAGAATCTTTATGGAAGCAGATTCCCAGGTCTTTTCCCCCTTGAAGCCACTGAGTGGGTGTGAACAACCGACTTTTCAGTTAGCAGCTGACTGCTGAACTACTTCACCATCAGGGTTCCTTTTTCTGTATTTTAGGTCTGATCAATTTTGAGAATTAAGATAAAGTGGGAGATTGTTAAAACAAAAATGAAAATAAAACCCACCTCACTCCTAACTCTAGCCTGACTGGGTATCAATGAGTGGATCACTGCCTCCAGCTGCTTCAGCCCTGTAGGAATGTGGGCCCTAGACCCACCCTTCCCAGCCAGCCGCAGGCAGCTCTCAGCATCACTGATCCAGGGCAGTTGGGCTGGCCTCCCCCACCGCTCAGCACCCTGTGAATATTTCCCATGATTTCTTTAGCAGTTACTGATCCAATTTCTGAAGATTTGAGCTGATTATCAACAATCTTACATTCATGTCTTCTTTCAAAGAATTAACATGAGGTTAGAAAAAACTATCATTATCCCATGCTACTTTAAATTATTCATTTCATTTGTAGACAAGAATAAAAACCAACCACTTATGGCTCTGACCACATACAGATTTAAAAATGAACAAACATCAACTTTAGACTAAAAGGGAGCATTATGACCTTAGGACACTGGTGTCACACAGGCAAGCACAGTGCATGTCCACTATGCACACAGAAAGCACACTTGCTCTCTTACCACTTCCATAACCTGCAATTCAAAACGTATCACACAGGTCAACAGTGAGGAGGTGTCCTCGGCATTGGTATCCTAAAAACTACTTTTAGACCAATAAAGAACCTTCATGGACAAAGACTTCAGAGCTACGGTTAGCTATTTTGTTTTCTACCCTGATTAATGAAATGGCATAGCAAAACAATTTCAGGAGAGCTATGTTATATATATATAAAACCAAAATGTGACGTAATGAAGAAGCTGCATAAAAATACTTAAACCTAAGGTATCTGCAGTCTATAGAATATACCCTGGCTTACCATATAAAATTTATCAGATATTAAGTAGTACTTAGTCCAAAACAAGGCAAGGAGATAAGATTTCATGTTGGATACTGTTTCAACAAGAGTTGCATTTGGAATATTAAAGGAAATCCTTCCTTCATGTTAGTAGTTTATAAAAGCAAACATTTACTCTCTCTATATATATAAAATAAAATTTTAGTATGATAAAACCTAGATTTTCTTAAATTATTTTTAAAAGGACATCAAACTAGATAATTGCTCAAAAGCATAGATTAGTGTTTCAGTGAGCTGTATTTCATGTTACCCGTAGCAATTACATTTGGTAACATGTATAGTATTTTCCATTTTGCTCTTTCTTCTGGGACCATATCTAATCAACAGAATCATTTGAGGCCCAGTAAGTCACCTCAGAGTTAATTGCTGGAAACAGACAAATGGCAGTTTAGGAGCTTAAGAAAAGGAATTGTAGTGTTTTTGTTCTTGTTTTTTAAAAGAGAAAACCTAGTATAATTGCACATTTACATACCAGAAAAAAAGAGGCACAAAACAGCTTTTTTCCAGAGAAGAGCTCTAAATAGATAAGAAAAAGGAACATACATGACACCATTGAAGGCTTCTGTTAGAGCCATCGATCCTCCTACCTTCTCTAAGGTTACTACGTACACCTGGAGGGAGGACAAATGCTACCAGGAACCAGCAACTGCAAGCCGTCAAAAATCACAGAGAAAGTTAACAGTCATTCAAGCTAACCCTAGACTTCTACTTAATACAGTGTTACAACAATGTCTGACGTAACTAATTATTTCATACAAGGAGTACCGGAATATACATATTCCTATGGATTAAAAGTAAGTGAGTTTTGTGGGCAGACATCTTGGCATACTTACATCTCTAAGAGTCAACATCACAGACACCATTTTGGCTAACACTGTCTTTCTTGGGTGCTTTCCCCAAGTGCTTCCTAAGATGCAGTGTGTGTGTGGCTCGTACACACCCTGTAGAAGTGCTTCTCCTTAATCAATGCAGGCAATTGTAAGTACTGGATAATACTACATAGAAATTGTTTACATATAACTTGGGGATGGTCCCACCCATTTCACCCCCAAATTTAGGAACTTAGCCAAAAAGCTCTATTCAACACAATTCAAATTCATTTGTATCGTTTTTACCAGGAAACATGATTGAACCGTTAGTTGACAAAAAGGAATGTTTAATTAGGAGAGGGAAGCAGAGGCAGAAAACAAAATGCTCATAATTCTCAAGTCAGACCAGGGTTTACATTTACAATGGACAGAAAATAGTGCCTATCTGATCCCACTTTTGGTCTGTGCCTTTCATCTCCCTTTAGCTGCCTTCACTGGTGTGTCAGGAAACAGGAATGACCATTCTAAGGGTGTACTCCTACCTGCATAAATGCACTTCATCAAAAAAAATCTACCACCAATTGAGAACATTTCAAAACCTGTGAGCACATCCATTCCTTTTTCTCCAAAACAAACAAACAGCTATATTATATGCCTTATAGTCATTAAATTACAAAGCCCACCTAGTTTAAGAACACAGAGGAAGAATCCAGAGGCATTTTGTTTCCAAGAAGTCACACTCAATACTTCCATAGAGCTCTCCTCTAAGACTTTGAAAACATTTTGAAGGGAAAAAGAAGTTAGCCTACCTACTGCTCAGCAAAGAGGTATATAAAGATCATCATACCCTTTTCTACAGGGCTTTCTCCAACCCTACCTAACACACTCATCCACTGATAAGACTATATGAATTTGAACTACACTTCTCAAAATTCCTAAAAATGAAAATAAATAGAATGATGGCTACTTTAGTTTTATACACCCAAGGAACGTATCTTAGACTTTAAATTGAACTCATTAAGAAAACTTTCTTTTCTCTTCATTCTTATTTTAAACGTGAAGACATCTTTTTCTAGCTGCAAAGGCATTGAAGCACACGTTAAAGGGCAAGAAAAAGACAAAGTGAATTTATCCCTCCACAAAAGGATCCCCAAACCAACAAAACCAAACAAAACAAACCAGACACCACCGACCGCATCTGCCTGCGTGAACTGGTTTTCCCATCTTCACCCTAACAAGGCAGTTTGATGGCAAACACTGTCTGCACTGTAGTGGTCTCTTCTTTTTCAATGGCATGATCTGCTTTTTCCTTTCACTCCATTTAAACAAAAAGAAAAAGGGAAAAAGAAAAGGAAATCACCACCCATTTATTCTTTTACTTCTTCTCCATGATCACGTGATTCCAATTTACACTTGATCTTGCTCCAGTATTCTGGTGACACAGGAGAGATGGGGTCGTGTTCAGAGCAGCAGAGACGGCCTTCCAGTGCAGAGGGAACCAGAGCCCCTTTCTCATGATCTTTACAAAATGAATGTGGGCAGAATTCACAGAACGAAACCGCTGAGCTGCTGCACTCATCACACTGATGCCATGGGCACTCCCACTTTCCTAGAGGAAGAATGGGAGGAGAAAAAGGAAAAGTCCGAGTTGGTACCTGTCCTGATAACCCATTAGAAACCCATTAGAAAGTTCCCAATGTCTTCTTTAATTGGAGACTGAATATAATTGAACTCTAAATTTCAGCCAAACACAGCTCTAGGTATACTATTAAAAATGGACATGAGCTGCTGCCCCAAACCCAGCGGCAATCACCCACCCCTGGTAATAATAAATAAGACCAATCCTGGCTGGGCCACCAGGGTATTCCAAATCAGCAAGGAGACAGATTTTTCACTAGCGAAATTTTTGTTTCCTTATTCTGCTCAACACTTCCTATTTCATGGCCCTTCTAAGGACAGCAGAATATCTTCTGAGTTACAAACAGTTGGCAAAGATGGCAGGCAGAGAAAGGGTCTTGCAGTTCTTGCTTACCATATGGGGGCTGAGTCAGGTTAAGGCATAGCAGGTGGTATGCTTTGGGACAGTCTTTTTTGTCACACATGACCAGCTCTCCACCATCTCCACAGTGGAAACAGTAATCTTCATGCATCTGCTTTGGTTCTGCTCTGATTTTTCGTCTCTTCTGCTTTAACTTAGCATTTTTTGCCTTCTCTTCAGTTGTTGACGCACATGCCGACTGGCAGGAAAACAGGATCACAGTTTTAATGATCACAGGCTGTATAGAAAGCTTCACATGGAAACAAAACCCTACAACCTCACAAGCATTTAAATTCATCTGTTGTTCAATTACCTAAGTTAATCAGGACAACTCACCCTGTAATAATACTATAATAAAAATAAGGCTTTGTTTTCATTGGCTTTTAAGTAGGGTACTATTTTTCAAATTGCAGGGGATGCTGGCAAACCCAAGCAGCTTTAACCCATTAATGGTGAGACAAACCCTGAATTACTTTTTCACTGAGATATACTTCACATAGCATAAAGGTCACCATTTTAAGGTGTACAATCCAGCAGTATTCAGTATATTGTGGGTCTTTTAAAAGTTTTTGAAGGGGACTTTGCTAATTTCAAATTCCATCAGAAATACATACACATTTTCAGACCCATACAGACCTTAGTAAGATACACTTAATTGGAAGGTCAGTCTACACAGTTGTGTTTAGTAAACACAACTGATGGCCTGCAAACTCAACCAGGTCCCCATTTGCCTGCATTTTCCTGACATGGTCAGAGACAGACTACTCTTATCTCCTACTGGCTCAGGACAACGCGGAACTGACCTTTGGCCGCACTCCTAGGAAACCACTGCAGTTATCCGCCCCACAGTGACACTCTGTTCTCCCATTGCCCAGGCAATCCAGATTATAATTAAATGTTAACTCCATTCCTAAAGCGTAAGAGAAATAATTATTTACACTCAACTCAACTCATGGGGAAGGGAAATGCTGCCATAGACATACTCTCATAATGGAAAAAAGAGACATAATTCTGTAATGAAGACTTTCCCTTCCCTCATGTTCTACCACATTGAAGACAGTGATGGAAATAAAGGAAATCATCCCACCCACCAATGATTACAGTGAAAATAAATATTGTAAACAGCAGTCATATCCTTTTCATAGAAGTGGATGAAAACAACCTTAAGAGGAATGAAAAATCTGCAGTCCATGCTCAAATTGGGTTCCAGTTTCAACCTCTTTTCCAAAGCTAATTGACACTAGCTTCTAAATGAACAATAGGACCATGGAATTTTGAAGATAATACTAGTAAGTAATTCTTTATATTATAAACAGATAAGAGTTCAAAATGGAGGTTTACCACATACATCAAAGATCTATGGATTCACTCTAGGGCCTCTCAAGCTTTCTCTAGCTGGGCTTAAGCAATCTACATGAATTCTAGAAGCTTACTTTAAATCTGTTTTAACTACAGCATTTCTCTTCTTACCCATTTCTATAAGTTTAACAAAGGAGAAACTAAGCTGGTCTATTAAAATGCTGGATGGGTGGTTTCAGAAGCTTTTATGTCTAATTTGAAACAGACTGATCTTTTAAAGTTAAAAGAAAAAAAAAAAAAAAACCAGTTCATGTTAACACAGGCTAATTACTTTTAATTTTTTTTTTTTTTAAAGAAGAATACAAAAGCTTAAACATCTGGTTATGTTACACAGACAGCAATAATTTGGAGAATTAATTCAACAGGATTATAGATACACAGAATCCTGTAACATCTTCTCTTACACAAAGGCTCTCACTAAACTCCCTTTTGTATAATACAGATTTTTACCTTTTATTGGCAGATAACACTCAATTCTAAATATTATAATTCTTTTTATCATATTTGAATACTCAAGCATTAAGCCTTAAAGAATAATGCCCCGTCTTCCAAGGACATACTTTCTTCCTGGGGAGAGAGGAATGGGGAGCAATAGTTTTACCTGCAGGGATATCACAAAGAGCAAAAAGTCCAACTCTAACGTCTCCATTCACTGTCCACTTTTGTGTCTCACAGTTTGGATTGCAACTGTGGTTCATAAAGCGGGAATAATTTCCTTTTGGGCCAGCATCAATTATACGGTCCTTCAGAAAGAAAAGAAAGGTACTTCTGACGTGACACTAAGTAAAACACCCAACTCAGTCAAGGTTCACGAGGCAGCCGCATTTTGCTATCAGCTGATATTTGTTTGCCAAGTGACAACTGAAAACTGAAAATGACTCCGGGTACCATTTACTAACCCCTTTACTGGATGACCTCTAAGTCAAAGTAATTAAGATAAAGAGGAATTCAGTTTCTTTTTAAGTTCATTTCTAGAAATAGGCAGATCACAGAATAATGCTACTTACAAGATTAGCTGACTGTAGGTTTAGGAAGGATACTTTTATGGGAGCTCTGGTAGCATAGTGCCTAAGGCACTTGACTGTCAACCAGAAGGCTGGCAGTTCTCGGAAGGAAGATGGAGCAATCTACTTCAGTAGTGATACTGCCTCGGAAACCCAAGGAGGGGTCGCTATGAGTCAGGTTTGACTCGACAGCACATAACAACAACAAGAAGTTTAGATAGCTACTTGTAATGGGAACTATGGTGTTTTGTTTTAGCCCTTCTCCCCAGCTCTGAACAGGAAGCAAAACTAGTATGGAGTAGAAAGATGGGAGTTTACGCCACAAAGCGGGAAGAATGAGACTCCCACAACTTGACCACCAAAAGAAGATGCAGAGATTCGACTGATGGAAAGGCTATAGTGTGGGATATACTCGCCACTAGTCATCTATTTGCTCTGTTTTCACTTATATAAAAGTTCAAAATACAGTAAAAAGCTGAACATTTAGGTCCCCTGAGTTTGGATTCTAATACTCTGGACGAGCTCCAGAAGATGAAGCCTCCCATGTGTTACAAGCTGCCTCGAGGGACCACTGCAGTGGGCATAGGATGTAAGGAGCCAGATGCCAGCAATACTCTATAACGACATTTTAATTTATGTTTATGAAGTCAAAGTTGTAAATGTTTCAAATAATGAAACATCAATAAAAATACTATTTAAATTATCTTTATTTCTTACTTTTAAAGATATTTTGATTCTCAGTTTTAGAGATAGCCTGGGAAGACAAGAGTACTAGTTTGTCTCCTCTTCATTAAACTGTAACAGGACACCCAGCATATTACTGATCATTGCTGAGCCTCTTTCTTGTCCCCTAAAATCAGAGGACTGTTGGAAAAATTAAATGAGATAACGGATGTAATGTGCATCAAATAGGTCTTACTCGTATTAAAGTGGCAGTTTCAAAGGCAGCTCCCAGTTATGAATTTCTGCTTACTAACAACTCCTCTACTTGTCCTTTAATGTTGTGTACATCTGCCCTCACTTTGAAACTACTGAACTAGCTCCTACTCCCAACAAAATTCTTCATCACAATCACCTTCACTTTCTGCATATGTGTAGCTTTTATATCATTGAAAAGATTTTGAGCCTTTTCTTGCACTTAAGCAAAACCAAATCCATGGTTGTGAAATCAATTCTGCTGTATACAGCAACCCCACAGGACAGAGTAGCACTACCCAGAGGGTTTCCAAGGCTCTAAGTCTTTACAGAGGCAGACTGCTTCGTCTATCTCCCATGGAAAGGCTGGTGGGACTGAACCAATGACCTTTGGATCAGCAGCTGAATGCTTTAACCATGGCACCAGAGTGCCTTCTTGCACTGAACAATCATAGGCACCTGTTCTGACTTACCTACAAATCTTGACTTACAGACACACTTAGGAACAGCTCTTGTTTTGTAACTCAGGGAATGTCTGTACATGTGTGGGCTGTCTCTTCTCTAACCTCCTTTTCTGCCACTGACTCACCACAGCCAGGAGCTGTGAGCAAAGGAGTCACTGGCATAGTTAAGGTTATGTGTTAACTTGGCTAGGCTTGGTTTTGAGTGGCTGGGCAGTGGGATGTCGTTATTCCTCATGATGAGACTGGTAATCAACTCCATGGTAGAATCTGCTGTGAGCAGCTGAGTAGCTGCCTTAGGGATGTGGTCTGCTTCCTGTATGTAAGGAGAAGCTTTGAGAAAGGCACTGAGCTTTTTTTGGCATGCTTGGATCCTGCATGTAGCCAAGTCTTCATTCAGCAGGCATGCCACATTGTCTGCCAATCTTGGGACTATGCCATTTTACTTGACCTTGGGTTTGTCAGCCTTAGCAGCCAGCAGATGCCTGAGTTAAGAGACATCTCTGACTGCAGTGGGCTGGGAGCAAGAGGCAGAGCTAAAGCTCAAGGTTAAGGGATTTTCACCCAGCCCATGGAGCTGACACTTTGAACTTGCACTTCTAGTCTCCTAAACTGTGAGAGACTAAATCCCTGCTTGTTAAAGCCACCCATTTACAGTATGTCTGTTACAGCAGCAGTAGAGAACCAAAACAGTCACACAGCATGATTTCTGTGCTCAACAATTCCCACCACAATGGGGTGGCATGTCAAATGAAAAACTACCATCTCCTCTTTTCTGCAGCTTGCTCTTCCTCTTCACTGTTTTTCATTTCACACACCCCTCCCCCAACACACACATACCTGGTCTCCCTGGAGCCTTTGAGGCACTAAGAACTATACTATATTTTACTGTCATTTTCTCATGACAGTAATTATTTTCCTAAGTCATTTTTAAAAAGAAAACAAATTTTAAGTGTACAGAATAATTTAGAATTTTAATAAACTAAAACCTTAATGGTGGTTTATAACTAAATCATGGGGCTGATTCCATCCTTTAGTGAAAAAGAAACTGAGGCCTACATCTTTCAGTGATTAAGAGCTAGGTCTAAACTCTAGATATGTTAACCTTTTCCTGGTTGTCTTTTTACTTCCCAAGACATGTGCAAGGCTTCAACAGTGATTCATTGTGAATTCTGGTTTAATTCGCACACTAGACTAGGTAGCAAGGAGCTTTGATGGTGCAAAGGGTAAACGTTCAGCTGCTAAACGAAAAGTTAGTGGTTTGAATCCATGGGAGAAAAGACCTGACAATCTGCTCCCATAAAGATTACAGCCTAGGAAGCCCTATGGGGCAGTTCTACTCTACCACATGGGGTCACCAGGAATTGGACTGGTTAGATAGCACCCAAGAAAAACAAGAAGTAGATAGCATACTTGCTACTGCAAACAATTATAATTTGCCTGAAAAAAAAAAAAATTAGAGGAAACTGAGGTCTCTCTAAAACCATGAAATAAATTTAAAAAATATATATCCTGTTGTCTTTACAAAAAAAAATAAATAAAAATAGCAATTTTACCTTAGTAACAGTTAACATATAAAAATTAGTTACACTGTTTTCGTGGGCTCGCTTGATTCGAAGTCTGCATTCTTCTTCATCAATTAATTCACCAACATATTCATTTACAAATTCACCCTGCAGAGAGGTATGACATAGAAATGTAAAATCAATGTGTTATATTGCAAAGCATTTCTTTTTTCTTTTTTTGGCTTTAGAAAACAGGAATTTATTCTTACAGTTGAGGAGGCTAGAAGTCTGAGTTCAAAGTGGCAGCTCTCAGGGCTGGATGAAAGCCCCTCGACCTTGGGCTTCAGCTCTACCTTTTGCTTCTGGCCCACTGGAGCTGGAGGCTCCTCTTAACTCAGGCAGCTGCAAATCTGAGGCTGACAAGTCCAGGGTTGACAAATAAAATGGCACAGTCCCCAAATTATCAAGCAACACAGCGGGCTACTAGTTCAAGTCCAGGAACAGTCTCAAGATCATCAGACAACATGGTAGGCCACTGAGATGAAGACTTGGCCCAATGCAGGATCCAGATGTGCCAAAAACCTCCAGACCTTCCTCAAAACAACTTTTTTTATACTAGGAGCAGACCACATCCCTAAGGCAGCTACTCAGCAGCTCCTAGTAGATTCCATCATGGAGTCAATTGCCAGTCTCATCATGGGGAATAACTATCTAGCTGCCCAGCCACTCAAAAGCAGGCCCAGCCAAACTGACACATAACCTTAACTACCACAGGGCCCATGTCTAGAGTTTTAACAACTCACTCTGAAACTGCTCCTTTTCTCTGTCTTGCCTCCATTTTCTTGGACTCCCAGTTTTGAATCAGGAGTCACCTTTCGGACATTTCAGGATTTGCCTGCATTCACCCTCAGCTACTAACTGAAAGGTTGGAGGTTTGAGTACAACCAGAAGCATCTTAGAAGAAAGTCCTGATGATCTACTTCTGAAAAAGCAACCATTGCAAATCTTATGGAGCACAGCTCTACTCTGACACACATGGGGTTGCCATGAGTTGGAGCGGACTTTATAGCCACTGGTATGATTTATTCCTCTGTTCACAACAGTTCTTATGCCCATAGCCCATGGAGTGTCTGCCATGCTCTTCCTATTGCATTTACCATTAGAAAACTTTGTGAAGAAAGACAAGATGTTGTGTTCCACAAGGAAGTAATATTCTCCTAGTAATAAAACCTACTGTTTTGTTTGTTTGTTTGTTTTAGTCATTGTCTTTGAGTCTTCATTATGAGCCAGGCACCTAACAAAGCATTTCTTACGCATTTTTATTTTCTTCTCTCAACAATCCTGAGGTAAGTACCATTATTATTGTCATTGTATAGAGGAGGAAACTGAGGCACAAAGAAGTGACTTGACCAGCTAACAAGATGCCATTAGGACTAGAATCCAGGGTGTTAGCTTAGAGTCCAAGCTTCACCTTCAGGCTCCCCGTCTCTGTATAAAAGAACTGTTTGTGCAGAGCAGACACCAGCTCCTGCTTAAAAACAAAAACAACAAACCAAACCTTTGCCACAGAGTCAATTCTGATTCCGACTCATGCTGACCCCATGTGTTACAAGGTAGAACTGCTCCATAGCGTTTTCTAGGCTGTGATTCTTTTTTTCAATTGTGATTTGGGTGAAAGTTTACAGAGAAAATTCACTTTCCATACAGCAGTTCACACACATTTTGTCTCATGACATGGACTACAATTTTCCCCAATGCAACAGCTCCCCTCCCACTTCCTCCTGATAGTTACCTCTTCCTTGTGTCCATCCCTCCATGCCCTCCTGCCTCCTGAGCTGTCTCCCTGTGCATAGGCAGCCCTTCTTTCTCCCATGATTGTTCTCTCCAAGGAGTGTTATCTACCTCAGGTAAATGTTCAACTCATATGCCTGTCTTTCGTTTGGCTGGAAGCCATAGGTGTGGGTTCAATTCCAAACCTGAAGGGCAGCTAGGGGCCACAGTCTCAGTCAGTGGTTCCACCAGTGTAAAGCATTTCTTAATAACACAAGTATACTCCAAGAAAATTAACAAAAAAAGAATTCTGAAAGTATAACTTTCAACTCTAGAAACAATGGTTTTTGTTATTCATGAGTACTCAAGTAGCACTGTTTTTCTTGTACAAGTACACCAAAAGGTGACACTGCTTGCCTTTTCTTGCTGATAATGCTACTTCAATATTTCCAAGTGATAAACCATGGTGGGATATCAGTAGGATCTGGGAATAAGGCTAAATTCAGCCTTAGAAGCTAAATTATAATAAACTTTTACTAGTGTGTATACCTGGAAAAGATCTGAATCTGAAACAAATTAGTTCTATTTTAAAAAAAGTATTTCATTTTCAAATAATTACATTCACAGGAAGTTGAAAATAGTACAGAGAAGTTACTTGTGCTCTTCACCCAGTTTGCCTCCATGGTAACCTCTCATGTAACTACAGTATAGTATCAAAACCAGAAATTGACATTGATACAATCTGCCGACCTTATTCAGATTTCACATGCACTAATTTGTGTAAGAGAGGGAGTGTATGTGTGTGTGTACAGGTCTATGCAAGTTTATGACATGTAAATTTCTGTAACCACCAAAATTAAGATACAGACCTGTTCCAAGTCCAGAGATCCTGTGCTGGTCCCTCACAGTCCCACCCATCCCCTACCAACCCTGTCCCATCCCTAATCTCCTAATCTGTTCTCCATCTTTACAGTATTGTCATTTTGACAATATTTTATAGATGGAGTCAAATACTACATAACCTTTGAAATTGGCTTTTAAAAAAAAAAAAAAAAAACACACTCAGCATAACTCCTTGATGACTGAGTTGTGTGTATTAATAGTTCATTATTTTCATTGTTCAGCTGTATCCCACAGTACAGACGTACCAGTTTGTTTAACCATTCACCCACCAAAGGACATTGGGAGGGACTGTTTCCAGATTTTAGCTGTTAAAAATAATGCTGCTATGAGCATTCATGCAAGAGTTTTTGTGTAGACATAAGTTTTCATCTCTCTGGGGTAAACAGGAGTGTGATTACTAGGTCTATGGTGATTATATAATTACAAACATTAACCCTTTCATCTCAAAAAACAAGGTTGATTTAATCTAGGACAACAGTAATGTCTATATAACTAATCAGTCACTTTTGAGGAAAACAAATGTCTTAAGAAACAAATAAAAATGTATTAGCTTACTGTTTTACCAGACTCCCATCCCTCCTCACACACACATTTTCACTAGCTCTTCTGTTGATAACAAACATCAGTAATCTAAATAGAAGTACTATATTATATTTTCTAATTTTAATAAATCATGAAGAATATAGCCAATGTTCCTAAAAATATTTAATTGTTTTCTATATAAAAATAAGATATTGCTATTTCTGTTACAAAGGAAAAGCAATTGGAAAGGATCAAGTTGGGAGGAACCAACCTAACTACTGCCCACGTGTCAGTCTTTTCCTTTGGCAATTTGTCCTTAGTGAGATCACTGAAAAACACCAGTCAGCTTTATGGAGCTACACACTTGTTCTAATTGGGGAGCGGTCACCACAAAGCATGGCCTCCAGCTTTTGATCTCTCCCCGTTTGTATTTACTTTACAGGCTATAATAAAGAAATAGGTTAGTGGGGGTAAAAGCATTCCATCTATAACTGCCCATACCATAAGAGTGCTTTATTTTCTCCACTTTTTCTTTCCAGTTGTTTCTCATGAAGGACATAGTTCTGCATGTTCATGTATTATGCACTGTCAGCCTTAAATGGCTTTTCATACATTAGCTTTGGACTTTGACATCAGCTGATAATCAACATTTTATACTATATTATGTGGTGTCACTGTTTCAAGGGTAAAAGACTACATTGCCATCTTGGGAGTGTTGCCATCTAGTGTCACTATACTTATATATACATACATATATATATATATACATACATACATATATATATACATATATATATATATATATATATATATACACACACACTTATATATATATTATGGCAAATTTTCTTTAATAGAGACCAAGAAGCTCTGGTAGCACAGTACCTAAGGCATCTGACTAGTAACCAGAAGGTTGGTGGTTCAAACCCACCAGCCACTCCATGGAAGGAAGACTGGGCAATCTACTTCCATAAAGATTTACTGCCTCAGAAACCCAATGGGAGCTACTATGAGTTGGAATCGACTCAATGGCAGTGGGTTTGGTTTTGGAAACCGTGGTGGACCTATAGCTAAGTGCTCAGCTATTAACGAAAGGCTGGCAGTTGCAACCTACTAGCAGCTCCACAGGAGGAAAGACCTGGTGATCTACACTGCCATAAAGATTATAGGCTACGATGCTTCTCCTCATCCAGAGCAAAGAAGAATGAAGAAAATCAAAGATTCGTGGAAACAATGAGTCCAAGTGACTGGTACACCATGCGATCCTGAGCCTTTACAACTATAAGACCAGAAGAACTAGATGGTGCCTGGCTACCAGTGTCAACTACTCGGAGGGGGATCTATGTAGGAGATCCTGGATAGAGTGGGAGAAGAATGTGGAACAAAACTCAAACTCATTTGGGGAAGAAAAAAAAGGGACCAGGTTTGCTGGTCTGATAGAGCATGGTGTAACCACTGAGACTGTGGCCCCTAGCTGCCCTTCAGGTCTGGAACTGAACCCACTCCTGTGGCTTCCAGCCAAACAAAAGACAGGCATATGAGGTGAACATTTACACTAGGTAGATGTACTCATTGGAGAGAACAATCATGGGAGAATAGAAGGGCTGCGTTAACACAGGGAGACAGCTCGGGGGCAGGAGTGCATGGAGGGAAGGACACAGGGAAGAGGTGACTATGGGGAGGATGTAGGGGGGGAGCTGTTGCATCGTGGTAAATTGTAGTCAATGCCATGAGACAGAGTCTATATGAACTGCTGTATGGAAAGTGAATTTTCTCTGTAAACTTTCACCCAAATCACAATAAAAATATATATAATTAAAAAAAAAAAAAATTACAGGCTAGGAAACCCTATGGGGCAGCTCTACTCTGTCCTAAAGGGTCACTAGGAGTCTGAATTGACTTGAAGTAACAAAACAACATAGAGCAGAGTGTCAACCAAATCAATTTTACTTCATCTTTTTCCCATATTGGGATTCAAGGTAAGATTTCACTTGAAGGAATGATTCTGGGGCTTTAAAAGCCTGAAAACTATTTACCATGGTTTATACTTACTATTTTATAAAATGAATAAAGAAAAAGTACTGATAACAGACTTGAGAAGTGTAACTCTCATAAACTTGGTATTACTGTGAGTAAAGATGAAGTATTTCAGATGTCCTAAAAGTAACAAATCTTTAGGCTCAACGATTTCCTTACTAAACTTAAAACCATTAACTGTGAATTCAACTGGGACAAAATAATAAAAAAACTTTTAAGAATGCTGAAAATCTGCTCTCAATGACTGTGGCTAAAATGCAGCACCGGTGTACTTTAGTTTTTTTTTTTTTTTTTTAAATTTCTGAGGAAGAACCACCTCATAACAGGAAGTCCCTTATTTTTGGTACATGTTTTCAGGAATCTGTTAGTGTGAGAAGGAGGAGACTGAGTACATTCTTCATATTTGACTTTTTCTCCTTAAATGTACCAAAATCTTTTCCATGTTGCTATGTCTTTATGATTATGCTTTTCAATGACTTTATATTTGTAAAAGACCAATTGTCTTGCATTAACAATCTCATAAGTGCTAAAGGGCAGAATAATCCATTTGTATTTTCTTTTCTCCTGAAAACTATATTAACTTATTTTAGAATACATGTCACAATAACAAAACTATTATTAGAGAATATTAGCAGAATATTAGAAGGAGCCCTGGTAGAACAGTGGTTAAGCATTCAGCTGCTAACTGAAAAGCCAGTGGTTTAAACCCACCAGTCAGTGGCTCTGTTGTTGAAAAGACCTGGCAGACTGCTTCCTTAAAGATCACAGCCTGGGAAACCCTGTGGGGCAGTTCTACCTAGGGTCGCTGTGAGTCAGAATTAACTCAACAGCAATGGGTTTGGTTTTTGGAACGTAGTATTAAACTGGATGGGTTTTAGGATGGTCCCATACAGGTCCTCCCCCCAAAAAAAATCATAGGCAAAAATCTATACATGTTACATGCATGACATTAAAGTATTATCAACATTGTTACATACATTTAAAATATAAATAGCCTTTGACCAAGCAACCCAACCCATATATCCAATCCATCAGCATATCCTGTTGGCTCTACCTATAAAATTTAAGAAATCCAACCACTTCTCTCCTGCTCATCTACAGCTGTAGTGGTCCAAACCACCATTATCATCTCTCTCCTAGACTACTACTCTAATGGTATCCTTTTCATTACTCTTTCTCACTTAACATAAATTCTCCATACTATGGCCAAAGTTAAGTATCTGAAACCCAAGTGTGGTAGACAGACTCTTAAGATGGCCTCATTATGCCTGTGGCCTGGTATTCATGCCACTGCATGAATGACCCCTATGCTCTTGCACTGTGAGTAGGACTGATAGAATATGGCAAAGGTGACATCTGTATGTGATTACATGATTCAATTATGTAAGACGTTAGTGTCCGTTTTGCTGGTCTTTATTCTCCTTACCCTTATTGCCTGTAAGGAAGCAAGTGCCATGATGGGAAACTCCAGGTGGTAAGGAGCTATGGTTGGCCTCTATAAGCTGAGAGCTACTTCTGGTCAAAAGCCAGCAAAAAAGCAAAAACAAGAAAACCCACAACACTAAAGGTCTCATACCCACAGCTGCAAAGAGAATTCTGCCAACAAACATGCAAGAACCCAGTCCTGTTCAACATTTTGACTGCAACCCTATGTAGAGGATTCAATTAAGCCTTGCCTGGACCTCTGAACATGGAAATTCTGAGAAAATGAAATGTGTGTTTTAAGTTGCTAAGTTTGTGGTATACTGTTACGCAGCAACAGAAAACCAAGTCAGATCAAATCACTGTCTACTAAAATCTTGCAGACATTTCCCATTCCATGGCCTCTAAGGCCTCATATGATCTAACCCCTAGTTACCTCCTCACCTCATCTCCTACCTACCACTCTTCTCAGTGCCCACTCTTCTCTAGGTGCACCAGCTTTCTGGGTTCTCAGAGTATGCTAAGACCTTTGTACCTGCTTCTCTTTCAGTCTGCAGTGCTCTTCTGTATATATTTCCATGGCTTGTTCTCTTACATATTCAGGTCAAGTATCACCTCTTCAGGCATTTCTGGACCAATTTAAAATAGCAACCCCCGTCCCCAGCTATTCCCTTTTACAGCTTTATTTTTCTTCATGGCATTTTATGGTATTTGACATGATGTATCTGTTTGCATCACACATCTTCCAGCAGAATCACAAAGGTAAGGGCTTTATGTCTTATTCACTATTGTTTTCCAAGTGCCTAGAATAGTACCTGGCACAAAGAAGAAACTTAATAAATATGTACCAAATGAGTGAATTTCATTTCGAGCAATCTAACCTATAGAAATAGATGCACAAAGATAGATATCAAGACTGTTCATTAAAGAATTGAAAACTATGTGTGTGTGTGTGTCTCCATGTATTAAGGAATAGTTAAATTATGATACATCTTACTACAGAACACATTGAGACTGTCAAAAAGAATGAGGTGAAATCTATAAGGATTTCCATAGAAATGTATTTATATTAAGTGGGAGAGAAAAAATAAGATGTATGATCATATTTATATTTTAAAAGCCCTACAAATACAGTATATATGAATATATATTTGTATTTACAATTGCATAGAAAAAGTTCTAAAAGGCTACACACCAAACTATTTGACAATGATTATCTCTCTCTAAGAAGGAGACCAGGAATTGAAGGGATGAAGGAGGAATTTCACTCTTTAATATCTTTTTTGTATTGTTTGACTTTTCTTTACTACATTCAGATGGTATTTTTTAAATTACAAATGTGATTTTTAAAAAGGTAGAAAAATGTCGAGAGTAATTTTAAATTCCCCCCCTAAAAAACCCCAAACCAAACTCACTGCCATTGAGTTGCTTCCAACTCACGGTGACCCTCATTGGGCTTCCGAGGCAGTAAATCTTTATGGAAGTAGATCACCTTATCTTCCTTCTGCAAAGAAGCTGGTGGGTTTGAACCACTGACCTTCTGGTTAGCATCCAAATGCCTTATCCACTATGCCACCAGAGCTCTTTTTTAAATTCCCACTAGGTCCATATTCTCAAGTTCTGTATGGGAGACAGCAGGCACTAGGCAGGGAGGCATAAGGTTGGGAGAAGGCTTTGTTTTAAAATAGATTCTAACCCTATCCCAGATATTTTAATTCAGTAAGACACTATTTTTGTCAAGGGTCACAAAAGATTTTCAGACACCCTAAAGTTTGAGAACTACTATTTGAGCAGGATTTACTGGTGATTTTCCTTTTTCTTTGAGTTATTTACATTTAATTTTTTTTCTAAAATGAATGTATATTTCTTGTGTTAAAGAGACTGTGTTGAAAAACCTCCTCAAAGTATAAAAATGAAGATAATTTATAAGTGTTAAAGATCTTAACTTTTTCCAATTGTCCCCATATGTAACCTAATTTGACACTCACAACAACCTTTTAAAATGTAGGGTAGAATGGAATACTATGTAACACTAAAGAATAATGTAAAATCTGCAAAATACTGCATAACATGGATAAACTTGGAAGACATTATGCTGAGTGAAATAAGTCAATCACAGAAAAACAAATTCTGTATTAATTCATTATTGTAAAACATCAAGGAAAGGTTTATATATGGAAGGAAATTTTCTTTTGTTGGTTAACGGGTGGGATGGGAGGGGAGGGAACACTGCAAAAAAAAAGTGCATCAACCCATGTCACTTTACTTTCGTATATTTCACTGTACATAAATTGTGTATTTCACTGTACATAAATTCAATAAAACGTATTTAAAACAAAATGTACGGTGGAGAGTACTGTGTTCACTTTAAACATGAAACACTAAGGTTCAGGAAGGCTTATTGACTTGGCCATGGTTTCAGGGCTAGTGAATTACGATGCCAGAGTTAGTCCCAGTTGCAGTACTTTCTTAACTTTACTATTTTGCCTTTACTAAAGTATTTTACATCAGTTTCATTTAACAAGTAAAAAATATTTCAAATAGAAACTGACCAATACCCCACCTCCTCTTTATAACTGATAATATGACACTCAAAAATCACGTACATTTTATTACTATCCACTTTCTACCACTTCTTTGTTCAAGGAATGCCAAATTCTCAATGTGGGACATTTCAAAATTTTGCCATAAATCCCGATATATTTTATCTTAGAATTATACCCTATTGAAGCATCCCTAAGAGGGACAGGTCTTGGTCTATTCCATTCCTCTTCACCCCCTAAATGCTACCTTCTTAATGCTCCTTTTGGTCCTGAGGCCCCAGCCTCTTCGTTCTGTTTTGATGATTTCTGCATCGGGGTAGAGCCTTTTTGTAAAGCACTGGTTCTGGCAACGATCTCCAGCGGGGCACACCTGTGGGTGGCACTCATACTGCAGCATTCTGTTCAGGCACTCAGATTCCAAGCCACAAGGGTTTTCATCAGCTGGTTTGCAGTTGCAGCGGGGAATCTCTGATAGGTCAGCAACCTGGATCTGTACCTTTCCTATGACTTTGTTAGCCTAGAGAACAAAATCACATATGCGAGGACAGTATAAGATAAATACATAATCTATTAGCAAATTTGAACAGAACATCAAAAACATCCATGGTATTCTTGGCTCTGACACCACCTTATAGTATCTTCGGGAAAGGCTCGCTACCTTCATTTCCCCATGAATAAGCTAGGAATAATAACTGCCCCTCCTTAGTTGACAAAAATACCAAAACCTGATGTGCACTCTCACTTATCTATCTTGTGCATTTCTCCTTCCACCAGTTGATAGAAATTTCATAACTAAAAACAAAAATATATGCTCATCTGTGAGGTCTCTGGAGGGGGGTAATAAATATTTATAAAATCATCTGCTTACAGGATGACCTGATAGTGTGAACAGGATTTCACATAGATGTGTCATGCCTAGGTATGAAAGGGCTTGTCAAAGCCTTGATCCTCACAGCACAGCAGTGAGCTATGGCCCCCATTTGATGCTTCCAACAAAAGCTCTCAGTTTGCTATACAGAAGACTGGATGACAATTAGCAAAATTTCTGAAGTCAAAATGGGCCTTCCAATTAATAAGAAAGTAATGCATTTTATCTTGCATGTCAAATACCAATGTTTTCATGGAAAAAGACTCACTTTGATGTGTTTGTAAGGAGGAGGTTTTCTTGAATTCTTTTCAATCTCTAGTGCTTCTTTACTTTCTCTTTGTGCTTTCAATTCCTGGAAACGTTTTGCAGCTTCTTCCAGTGCTGCCAATAAGACCAAGCAAAGCATACAAACAAACAAACAAATAAATAAGTATGTATGTAGGTATACACACACACATGTACATACATATATTTGAAAAAAGAGCCCTGTTAAGAGAGTAGCTCTACATTGCCTTTTCACTATGCTGCATCTGGACTGAGATTTTCTTTTTAAATCTATATTCTGGCCATCACCATTTATCACCAGCACAGGGTAACTCTGAAACAGGACAGAAATTATCTGTGGCTGAGCACTGCTCTATGCACACTGCTGCCTCAGAGAAGAGGCTCTACTGCAATGATCAGAGGCTTCCAAGTGAACCTAAGAGAAGCTTATTTTTTTTGACCTTGTACTAGATTTTAATTCATTTTACTGTTTTCCAGAGAGCCAAAACTTCCTGCCAACGCACTGCAAACGCTTTCTGGGAAGCTTTCACTATTCTTTTCTGGCAAAGGAGCTTCCCCTGATGAAGAAGATTATGCCCAGCACAAGCTGTATGTTGTAGAAAAATCACTGAAGAAACTCCTCTCACACAGCACTGTTTACTGTATAGAAATGCATTTTAAAACCTGGTTCCAATGTCACTGGAAGCTTACAGATGCTGAATAATAATGCTTTGTGAAATATTCTAATATCAGAAATACGTCTTATATAAGTTAGGAGATGGATGGAGTCTTAGTTCTGAGTCACTGTAAACATTTTCCAACTTACCTTTTTTGAATGTCTTATTAATACTAGTCTGTCCCTCAGCAAAGCTTTTGTCTCCTTCAACATAAGGGAACACTCTGCCTTGGTGTACCCAATAGTAGTCATGAGAACCAAAGAAGAACACAGGGAAATCCCCCAAGTCATGTTTAAGGCCCTGGATGTTCAGTGGCACAGACCTGGGGTTGCAGATTTCTGCTGGCCACCACCTGAAAACAAAAACAATTGTAGACTAAGAAAATGGAAAATCACATTATTCTTTGCAAGGCTGGCAGGAGGGGAAAAAATAGCCCTTATCTTGAAAATATCATTTAGGGTCTAATCCTGCCCAGATCACACACTACTTAAAAACATTAATTAAATAATGAGTACAGACTAACCAAAACAGGTCTTAACACTCAATCCAATTCTTTTAAAAAGTTAATATTTTATATTTATGGAATAGAATATATCATGTAAGTATAGATTATAAAGCATAATAAAGAATCAGAATATTATCAATACTATTCCAAACCCAAATGCAATTTTATAAAAGTCATGTTTTTTCCCAAGTTCAGTATATTTAACACTAAGATTATCTTTCAAGATAAAAGTTAAATTTCCAGTAATTAGGAGAATCATTTTGGGAATAGCTGATGCTTCAGGAAAGAATGACCACTGGCATTCAAATGAGCATTTTCTGAGTCTCTAATCAACTAGGGCAAGCATCTTTTGGTCAAATGTTCTAGGTTTTATATCAATGTGTATTTCTGAATTTAATTCATCTTAGATCATAATAAAATGGGATTTGGGACAGAATGGAAATATAACTATTTCATGCTATCATGACCGAATATCCCGGCAATTACTAAATGAAACCATCTATAAGCAGCATTTGACAGTTTCCAGTTATTGGGCAAATCAGGAATTGAAGGCTGAAGCTAATGGTCGTAAAGTGAGCCAACCTTGGTGATCCTCAGATGGCCTTCAGTAGTATATAAAATTACCATTACCAACAGTAAATACACAGACCTTAAATTTTTTCAGTCCTTATTTTACGTATACTGAATACCCATGCAAGAAGCTTTGGTGGTGCAGTGGTTAAAGCATTTGGCTGCTAACTAAAATGTCAGCAGTTTGAACCCACCAATCGCTCCAAGGGAGAAAGATGAGGCAGTTTGCTTCGTACTATGTACAGCCTTGGACACCCCTATGGGGTAGTTCTACTCTGTCCTATAGGGTTGCTAGGAGTCAGAATCAACTCGATGGCAGTAGGAAATAACCATATATTTAGCAAATATTATATTTAGATGACAATGACATAGCTGCACTTCCAGATTTACAACAAAGAATTTGAATAAGCTTCATCTGAAAGGTACCCCACTCTACACCAGGGAATTAATTAAAAACATAGGTAAGGCTCAAATTGTTAAAATAAAACATTATTTCAAGTGGTCAGTATTCAGTTTACCCTCAAAATAAGTCTAGGAAATGGTTACTCTGTATATTTCTACAGCAATTTTAAGGTATTAAGTGTACATGGTTATTGCATTCACTAGGGTCAGGTAGAAGAGACACATTTTCTCCTAGGGGTTGTTCCAGGGCTTTGTATTTTCCTGCAAGAAGCTTCACATTGGAGAGTAACTAGTTATGGAAAATAAACAACTTCATGTGGCCCAGTTGGACCTGACTAGAAAGAAATATACTAAGAATTAGTTCATGAATGAAGTCTTTCTAAAACATACAAGGAGAATCTGACCTAGATAGAAAATCTCATTGGCTGTGATCTGAATTGGAAAACTGGTTTAGAATTCTTTAAAATACAATATAGTTAAAACTAAAGTATTAAAATTAATTTAATCAGAAACATTTTCACACTTATAACTTTTTCTCCTTAAAGAAATACTTTGAAATGTATTTAAAGATCTGAAGGCTTCTCACACTGTGTTAAGTGTTTCTTACCCAGGGATTATTATCTATTAATTGTCAAACCCTGCAAACCCCAAAGAGATATATTTTAAATTAAGCAATAAGTACATCCTTTAAAACTTAAGAAATGGCAGAAACGTGTAATAAAAAAAGCAAAAATGCCTTCACTTATAATCACATTCCTCACACTAGTAACATTAGATGTATTTCTTTCCAGGTACTAAAAACACATCTAGATCTATGTTGTTGTTGTTGTATAAATACATGGAAATACATTGTGTGTATTGTTTAGTAGGCCTTTTAAACGAAGGTTATCATGCTATCTTCATGTGTTACTATACAGACTTGCCTTATTCTATTATTGGTTTCAAGGTATTCTACAATATAGATGTGGTTGTTGTTAGTTGCCAGTGAGTCAGTTCCAATTCATGGATACACCATAATTTATCTAATACCCTACTTTGTTTTGACAAAACAAAACAAAACCCACTGCCATTGAGTCAATTCTGACTCATAGCGAACCCATTGGGTTTCTGAGGCAGTAAATCTTTATGGAAGTAGATTGCCCCATCTTTCTTCTGTGAAGGGACTAGTGGGTTTGAACCGCCAGCCTTCTGGTTAGCAGTTAGCCTTGGGCACTGCGCAATTGGTATATTTCAAATTTTTTACAATGATAAATAATGCTTTAATAAACATTCTGAAAAACAATTTTGCCTGCTTGTTCAATTGTTTTCCTTTAGACAAATTCCTTCAAGTAGAAGTGCTGGGTCAAAGAGTATACCAAACCAAACACACTGCCGTCGAGTCGGATCCAACTCATAGTGACCCCTCCCTGGGTTTCCAAGGCAGTATCACTACAGAAGTAGATTGTCCAACCTTCCTTCTGAGGAGTGGTTGGGGGATTTGAACTAGTCTTCTGGTTAGCATTCAACTGCCTTAGGTACTACACTACCAGAGCTCCCATCAAAGGGTATAGAGAATTAGAATTCTGATGCATGACGGCCGGATTGCCCTGCAGGGAGCACTTATTTCCCTTGTGTCCTCACCAATTGCAAAGTTATTAATCTTTTAAATCTCTGCCAATCTGTTAATGGGGGAAAAAAAAACTTCTTGTTTTGATATGCATTTATTTTTAGTGTGGCTGAGCATTTTTTCCATGTTTATTTTCTATTTGCTATTCTTTTGCAAATTAGCTCTTTCACTTCTTTGCACATTTTCCTATTGAGGTATTTGTCTTTTCTTACTGAACACAAAAGAATAATGATTTAACCCCAATCTGATATCTGCCTTTTAAAACTTTATTCTGTCTTTTGCCAGATAAAATAAAATTGTGTATTTAAACTGTCCATCTTTTTCTTTAGGACTTGGTGATTTTCCCATAATTTTTTTTAAGACTTCTTAATCTCAATGCCTCTCAATCCAAGTTTTTAAAATTAAGTGGGTAAGCTAGCAGTATACTTAAAGAATGCATGCATTTCTTACTTAGCCAAATCAGAGAAAACAATATAGCCCTTGCTAAAAAAGGTCAATTATGTTTGTAATTCTATGGAAACATATTTTACTTAGGATTCTAATTGAAAAACAGAATTTTATTGTGCTGTCTTGAATAGTAACTATTTTCTTGGTAAAATGATGAACATATGCCTCAAAGATAAAGTGCAGAGTTTTAATTATATCAATATATCTGTTCAGAGAAGGCTTATCTGGAAGAAACAGCTTTCTAATGAAGAAAACCAAAGAGTCATGGAAAAAATTAGTCCTGGAGACTGGTATACCATGTGATCTGCAGCCTATATGACTATGAGACCAGAATAACTAGATGGTACCCGGCTACCACTGTCAACCACTCAGAGGGGAATCTATGTAGAAGATCCTGGATAGAGAGGGAGAATAATGTGGAACAAAACTCAAAATCATTTGGGAAAAAAAAGGGGGGGTACCAGGCTTGCTGGTCCAATAGAGCCTGGTGGAACCACTGACACTATGGCCCCTAGCTGCCCTTCAGGTCTGCAATTGAACCCACACCTGTGGTTTCCAGCCAAACAGAAGACAGGCATATGAGCTGAACATTTACCTGAGGTAGATACACTCCTTGGAGAGAACAATCATTGAGAAAGAAGGGCTGCCTATGCACAGGGAGACAGTTCAGGGGACAGGAGTGCATGGAGGGATGGACACAGGGAAGAGTTAACTATCAGGAGGAAGTAGGAGGGGGAGCTGTTGTATTGGGGTAAATTGTGGTCAATGTCATGAGACAGTGTATGTGAACTGCTGTATGGAAAGTGAATTTTCTCTGTAAATTTTCATCTAAATCACAATAAAAAACAAACAAACAAACAAAAACAGCCTTCTTAAAAGGAGAAAGCGTTATTAAAATAACTGCAATCATACATACTTCTCACTTCATTCCATTAAGAACTAAAGGCTCTTAATTAAATACTATGTCTTCTTACATACAGTTTAGGGCTTTTAGCTAGAACTAAAATGGACCTGATTCAAGGATAAAGAGAGTTATTAACTCAAATATTTCTTGGCTAGAATATAAACTCTTTTGATTTACATGTAAATCAGAAATCATGTAAATCTAATTAAAACACACAGAAAACATTTTCTATACTTTCCACATAAGATCCGTTATTCCAAAACATAGTAGTATTGTGTCCATTAGTGGACAGTAACCTTCACAACTTAAAAATAAAAGTCAACCAACCAGTCAAAATAGAAAAAAGAAATCCAGCAGCAACCAAATCTTCCTAATCACCTGTAAACCCAGACTCAAGACCTATTTCTGTTTTTTCCTTCTTTTTTTAAGGAAAACCAAGTGGTATAGTGGTTAAAGTACTTAGCTGCTAACTAAAAGGTCAGTGGTTTCAACCCACCAGTCACTTTCTGGGAGAAAAGATGAGGCAGTTTGCTTCTGGAAACCCTATGGGACATTTCTACTCTGTCCTACAAAATCTCTGTGAATTGGAATCAACTTAAAGGCAATGAATTTGGTTTTTGTTTTCATAGTTCTGTGCTGCTCTACCTATCTCCTACTACTGTGGATACAGACTATAAACCTGTGTGTGAATAATGACTGAATACTTCTTTGTTCTTGGAAAAACTTGCCTGTAATTTCCCAATTTGACCCAAACAATCTGCTTGTAATGTAGCTTCTTGCCAGCTTTACAGTCATTACAATTCCAGCAGCCTTCTGGCATGTCTATGCTCAGGCACTCCGGGTGGAAGGAAGCTGGGCACGATTCACAGCATAGCAATCTTCCACCTTGAAATAAATAAACAGTCTTAATAACTGAGAAAAGAGGAAAGAGAAAAAGAAGAAAGTTATCTTTTAAGTGCATTATATTTGATTCAAATTAGGGGAAAGTAGCAAAGGGATTGAGTCACACTGGTAGTAATGGATTAAAATAGAAAGCAAATGAACAACAGAATGAGCTACTTCAACCCCTTTTGAGCACTTCAATAGCCAGAAACTCAATGCTTTTGCATGGTACAAAAAACATTAGTGTACTCTTTACCCTTTTAAAATGTGGGCTATTGAGGTATCAGGTTAACAAGCAGCTAAAACCTTTAACGTGTAACAAAATGGGCACTAAAATCTTTAGACTCAGTAGATTTGAGAGCAGGTCTTTCAAAGAAAATGGTAGCAACTTACATTCTTCTTTCCTTCAGAGTTAAATACAAAGTAACAGTTACCTTGGTATTTTAATCCAGTGCTACAGTTAACTAAAATCCCTTTGCAATAAAATTAGCAAGAATGAAAACAGGCATTGATCAGTTCTTTTTTTCTTCTCATACAAAAAAAAGCAAGCAGGAACATACTTTGCTGAACTGGTAGTTACATTATCATTACTTTTTTCAGTGAAGATAAAGAAAATCAAACAGGCTATAGAGCAGTGGTTTGCAACTTTTTCATCACCAAGGGTCCCTCCATTCCCTTTCTCACTGATTCACACATTTTCAAATATCTTATCAACCAACAAATTACATCGTAAAAGTAACATTTTTTAAAAAGTTAACTGAAGAAATATGTAATTGCCAATTAGCACTTCTGATCACCATAACCAAACTAGGATTATCACATTAAATTGTTAGTTAAAGCCAAATATAAAGAAACTCACACATGCATTATTTTGTGCAAATGTGCAGTCCTGTTAGGTTTTCAGAAATATTAAACATGATTCAAAATTTTGTTCACGTAATTCTTTTCTGACTTCATTTTGAGAACCACTGCTTTATAGCATAACACTGGGTATGTATCAATGTAGACTGAAGTACCATATACAAGCAGGTCCTTAGCTCTCTAGCAAAATCCTATCCTTTTAAATACACAAAATGATCTCAGGATTAAGACCAAAACAGGTATGACAAACAAAACAATATTTTTTAAATGCAAAGAAATAAAAGATTTCTTTGGGGAAGAAGGGGCTATGTTTTTGTTTGTTTGTTTGTTTGTTTGTTTTGATATGTATTTTAACATAGGCAATGACACAGAAGGTTGCCAAACACTGAAGATGAAATAGAATACATTTACTGTAAAAAAAAAAATCATCTTTCTACTGAAAAATCAGATCTACAACTCATGAGTGTACAGAGATTTTAAGTCTTGTAAGCAAAAGGTTAAGAGCCCTCTATAAAAACTATTATCAGATCACATGCTATAATCATTTAAGTGTTTGCTATCAATTTTCCAGAAAATGTTATCTTCCCATAGTCTTTCAAACTTCTAACTGATTAACATATTACAAAAACAAAAACAAAATCCATATATAGTCAATGATGAGTTAAATTACTATATTTCCTCTGTTTAAAAGCTTTTACACTTCAACTATTGGGATATTTTTCTTTGTCTACAGATCTCAATATGGATTAATCAGTCCAATTCTCCAACCTTAGAGATTAAGCTGCCTGAGTGCTCTAAGCATAGGTTAGGGAATTCTTCCATCAGTTTAAAGTAAAATGAAATCACTCATCTTTCCACTGGAAAGACATGACCAATAGGGAGAACAGTCTTTGCAAACAGCGTTAGAGGCCAAGATAATGCCCAAAAGAGCTAGATAGTGAAAGTCAGTCTGGCCACATTTTAACATTATGCAATAGCTATTAATTTTAAGTCTTATTTCAGAGGAAATACAGACTCAGAATCATCAGTGAGAATCACAATAAAGATGTCAAAAATACATGAGGGAAGTAGAAAAAAATAAAAACACGAATGAGCCACCTTGGTGCTATGCAGGAAAATTGCTTTAGGATGCAAGGGAAGAAAGATATGGTTCAAGCTAAGCAAAGAGAGGGCTCAAAATAATTTCAATTCATATCAAGGTCAATACCAAGTACTGAAGACGAAGTAAGCAACAATGAAATCAATCTAATTGTATAGAGGTGCCAGCAGGAAAAGAAAGCATTTTATAAACGCCCTTTATTACATTGTGGAGTAAGTCAGACTTATGTTCGTCTTTGTTTTGGAAGCAGGTGTTATCACCAATAAGGTGATATATAATCTGACTTCAAAGGAAAAACAAAAAACAATACTCTCCCCAATCTACCTTCTCTATGGGTTCTAATCGTGCTTAGTTACACTTTCTTTTAGTCTTGGGTTGCCACCACAGATGTCTGACAAAGAGCAAGATGCATCAAGCAGGCAACACAAAGAATGAAACAAAAGCCCATTTCATATATAACTCCTATATGAATATGGTATATCCAGGTACAAATGAATTTTTCTTTAAAGATTCTGAAACTGCTCCTGACCATAATGATAATGTACACATGTATTTTACCCACTAGGACAGTAACTCCCCAAATAATACATGACTGCTTTTTCTTTTATTGTAAGTAGGCTATGTAAAGCTAAACAGAAGATGAGGTTTTGTTCCATAGATTAAATTAATTGGGAGAATATAAATACACATTTAGCTCTTAATTCTCTGTGGATAACAATCCATAAACAATTCTTCAATTCATCTGAGCTGTCTTCTAACATCCAGTGTTTGGGGTATACACCCCAGCTGCCTTATAGATACCTAAGTGTAGGATAACTAATCTTTACAGCATCTTTCTTAAACAAAACATTTAGGAAACACATGATAAAATGCATTCTAAAATGAAACTTTTAACTATCAGCATCTTGGTTTCCTTCTACTTAATGGCTTATCTTGTTACATAGCTGAAAGTTAGTAATAAACTACATTTTCTATTCTAACATGAATGGTAGTTCTCCATTAGAAAAAAAGAGAAAGAGCCCTCAGAGTATTCTTCTACATTAAACAAAATCCTAGTCTCTCAATTTGAATAATTCACAGATATTTAAAATGCATGAAAATTTATTCAAGGAGAAGAGTAGGTAAAAATTTTAATAATGGAATTATTTTAAGCCCTTTTTAATAATTTTGCCAGCCATATGAAGACACAGTCACAACCACCAAGGCAGAATTTACCAAAAGCAACAGATGGTGCTTGACAGGCATACATTTTCCCCCTTTTATAAAGAAAAAAATAAAAAAAAGGAAATGCAAAAATAAAAGCAAGAGAGAAACTATTTTGATTATTACCTTTCTCACATTTCTTTTTGGAAGCTGACGAAGAAGGAATCATAGGTAATTTCATCAACTCAGCACGATTTGATTCATTCAGTAGGTAGTGGGACTTATAGGCATATGAACTGAACATGGGGTCTGAATGGTCCTGAACTATCAGCCCTATACAAAACAAACAGAAAGAGGTGAGCTGCAATGAAACTACCCATGATTCCATGAAGGGAAAAAAAAAAATAAACCAACACCTATTATGTAGCTATGCTTTAAAGTTGGGTATGTGGGGGCGGGGAAAAGAATATGAAGCAAAAGAAAGATCTGAAAGAAAAGTCTTTCTAGAGTTATGTAAAAGAGTTTGGGCTACTCAAGTGCCTTACCCCTATCTGTATACAAAAAACAAACCAAACCACTGCTGTTGAGTCGATTCCAACTCACAGCAACCCTACAGAACTGAGTAGAACTGCCCCATAGGGTTTCCAAGGCTATAATCTTTATGGTAGCAGACTGCCACATCTTTCTCCTGTGGAGCAGCTGATGGCTGTTTGAACTGCTGACCTTCTGATTAGCAGCCATGTGCCTTAACCACTGTACCTCCAGGGCTCCGTTTATCCTACATGTTGTTGTTGTTATTATGTGCAGTTGAGTCAGCCTGACTCATAGTGACCTCTCCTTGGGTTTCCGAGGTGGTTATCACTATGGAAGTAGATTGACCAACTTCCTTCCAAGAAGTGGCTGGTGGGTTTGAACCACCACCAGCCTTCTGGCTGGCAGTCAAGTGCTTTAGGCACTATGCTACCAGAGCTCCTTTTATCCTACATAGGAATATATATTACCTCAGAAGAAAACTCCAAATTAATTTGAAGGTGTAAACTGCATTTGAATCATACTGAGAACCGTGCTATATTCCTTAATATTTAGAAATACTACTATGACAACCCAAGAAACAAAATGACACATCACTTGATTGATTAAAAGGAATATGTACATAATATAGTAGGGCCTGATCCACTTTGGATATTTTAAATAGCATTTAAAAGGCAGAACTGAGTCTCTCCTCCATTCATATCTTGAAATACGTGCAAATAAATGTTAAGTTTTCTCTGCCAGATAATGAAATTCTATCGATATGATAATGATTTTAAAGAAGCTATAATTTGCTAAATTTTACTGAGAAAATGCAAACGATTTAAAGTATTTCCTGCTATGACAGAAAGTAATTACCAACTTACGGGTTTATGGAAACAGTCCTTTTGATCTACCAATATAGCTACCCTACTTGAAGGGAAGGAAACCCAAGATGGGCTATAACCCCTCACTCTTTCTCCTCCCAACCCTCCAAAAGCCCAGTTAAGGTCATTCCAGAACCTAGGGAACTAAGAGACTAAGGAAAATGTCTCTATCTTGGTTACTGGTGAATTTACAATGACCTAGGATTTTACAATGAAAATCATGACAGCAGTTTCATTTAGAAATCATTTTGAAGTAAGGGGAAGAGTTTTGTTTTAAATGGGTTACCATTTACTTTTTTCTGTGGGTGTTATTTTCATTTGGTGCTATCCTACACCAAGACAGATTCAAGAAATATCTCTGACCCAGATGACAGAATGGAATTTGAAATTGCTAATAAGAAAATCTTCCTATAAAAAAGTCAGGCAATGTCAAAATAAATTTAATATATTTAATAGAAGGAGGCAATTAGTGTCAAAAAAAAAAAAACACGGGCCTTAAAATAAGAAAGATCAGGTAAAAATGCTGGTCCTTCACTTACAATTTATGTTACCTCAGTTAAATTATTTAACCTGGGCTTCAGTGACTCATCCATATAAAATGGGGAAATAATTTCTTAGGGCAATTCTAGAACTTCATTTAGATAAAGTGTCCACTACAGTTTGATTTACACATACAAGATAAACTGTTATTATTATTAATAAAATGAAAAGAAAAGCCTAAGTTATCTTAGCCATTTAAAATTTTATGACAAAGAAAGGTAACTAAAGTTTAGTTTACACTACTCTCCAGATGAAAGGAAATGCTAATAGATTTTTTCAAAACCAAACTAACTGCCATTAAGACAGACTCACAGGGACCCCTCCTTGGGTTTCCGACACCTCCTTGGGTTTCCCAGGCAGTATCTCTACAGAAGTAAATTGCCCAGTCTTTCTTCCATGCAGTGGCTGGTGGGCTTGAACTACCAGCCTTCTGGTTAGCAGTCAAATGCCTTAGGCACTACACCACCAGAGTTCCCAAAGGATATATAAAACACTGAAAAATGCCTGTACATTTCCTAAAGCAAGAAGAGTTAGCTGGAAAGTGTGTGTGTGTGTGTCTGTGTGTGCGCACGCGTGTGTGTTTGGGGGGGGAGCAGTGGTCCTCCAAACCGTTCTAAAAACATTTCTAGACATTTTCTGTCCTTAAGAACTAGCTTAATGTTCATTACCGATACAGAGTAATGAACAAAGAAGTTCTCTATGATTAGGTAAAAACTCTGCATGTGGCAACAAGCAAACTCAGAACGGGTTAAGTTTTCTAATACCAAAACATACAAGATTAAAGCTTCCTTTTTAATGTATGGATTTGTTAGGTCTCTTTTAAAAAGGCGGTCTCTATAAATACCGACAAAAGAATATATACATTTACTTGTGAAAAACTTTTGTATATTTAAGCCTTCTCAAATCCCAATATCTGATTGTTTACAGTAAGTTTTTTTAATATTAGAGAGAAAAATGACTATTTTTGTATACTGTATAAAGTTTCACAGCTAATACATTTGGAAATTAAATAATCCTGCTTAAATGTTCCACTTAAATACAATAAATCTTTTTGAATAGTTGCCAAATTGATAAAAAGCAAAAGTCTATTGCTAAAACATGCCCCCTCCCGTTTTTATTATTCCCAAACTTTTAACCAAGGCATATAAGTTAAATTTAACAAACTAGCTAGAGCTTTATAAAAGGCTAGATCCTTACCAGATGGACCATTTTTCTACCACTTTTAAATGGAAAATACCTGAAATTATTTGTTTTATATGTTTCCCCTTTATGGAATGAAACAGAAGATAAGTCAAGTCTTGATTAATATATTGATGGTACTTGATTCAGAATGCACCCTAAGGTAAGCCAATATGATAATTATAAACTTGGCATTTAAAATATTGGCTCAGTTACGTATGGTTATGTATCACCTAGGAAAGATAGAACAGAAAGAGTTCACAAGGTGATAGGGACCTTATGTTATTCACCACCATTAATTTGTTTAAAAGTCTCTAAAGCTAATTTGATAATTCAGTATTTCCTTCGTAGCATTATTTTCTTACAAGTGAGGAGTGAAAAAGAAATCTTTTTTATTTATTTTACCTGTCTAAATCCTTTGTCATCAGCAATAGCAATACGGCATCAAACATTTCAGACCTACTCTTCCAGTGAATTGACCATGTTTCAAAGCAGGATACAGTTATAACTGCTCTAGTAAAGAAAGACACTATGCTTCTCCCTCTAATGGCAGACAGCTCAGTGTGCTTTACAAAACTCTGGCAAACTGAAAGTAGTGAGTACAAAGGACCCAGCTGGCTACTACATAAAGGACTCACCATTTATTTAATCTTTTATTGCCCACCTTTTCTAAGTTATTAAAAAAAGAGAGAGAGAGAGAGAAACAGACATACAAAAGCAAAACAACCTAAGATCTATCATACTATCTAAACTTGTTATTAAAAAATATCTTACAGTACTTTCACCAAATTAAAAGCAAAGACAAAAACAAAGCAAAATAAAAAGAAAAGCCAAAACCCAAAAAGCCCTTCATCTTCAGTATAGGCTACATATAGACTAACAGGTCTGATATGCCTTAGAGTCTTTTCAAATATTTCTCAATAAGGAAAGTTAAAAAAAACTGAGGAACCACTTTATTTATTTATTTTTAAAACTCCACTTGGCAATATTATTAGTTGGTTTCTAAAATGCTTGATAAATATTAAAAACATTTCATAATATTTTTAACAGTTGTGATAAAGGTGGGTACACTGTATCATATTCAACTAAAGTAGTTCTATTTTCTATTTATCATGAACTCAAGTTCACTGACCCCCTCAGGGACTCAGTATTATTTTTAGTTAATATGAAGCCAGATCAATCTCTTGGTATACTTCAATATCAACAGCTGGCAAGTAAGAAAGACTATATTGCTGGCTCGTAACTAACACCATGACATATGCTGCCTTGGCGGTGTCCCATCAGGCCTCTGTTTAAAGCCAGACCAAATTGTGACAAATATAACATAAACAATTGGAAAATAAATGTGCTAGTTTTGCCTTCCAAATGAAATCTCAATCAGTTGAAAGCTCAGGAGTAAAGATTCTGACGTGGAAAGGATCTAGTTCTAATAGGAGAATTGTTTGTAGGAAAGGTAATAGATTAACTCTTCAATGTTCCAAACAGAAAAAAGTAAGAACTTATCTATATTTCTAAGTTATAAAAAAGAAAAATTAGATTTTAACTTGAGTTATGGAATAATTATTCTGACAATTCGGATATTTAATGTTATGAAAAGGACTTGGAAATTAAATAATCTTGCTTAAATTATGCACTTAAATAAATCTTTTTGAATAGTTGCCAAATTGATAAAAAGCAATAAAATTAGTCTATTACTAAAACATGGCCCAAAAGGACTCTAACTATGGGTTTGGGGGTGGGTGGGAAGAACAGGTGGAACACAGGGTGTTTTTATAGCAGTGAAACTATTCTGTATGATACGGCAATGGTGGACACGTGACATCATGTCATTTGTCAAATCCCTAGAACTGTACAACAAAAAGAGTGACCCTAATGTAAACTATGGACTTTGGTTAAAAATGGTGTGTCAATCAATATTGGTCCATCAATTTTAACAAATGTACCACATGGATGCAAGATGAGGTTCTATTAGGATTTTTTAGTAAACCTAAAACTGCTCTAAGAAATAAATTCTATTTAAAAGACATTATACAAGGGTTGTTATAAAATGGAATTCTGTACTGGGTGGGAGATTGTACTAGATGATCTGAGTTCTCTTCCAATGCGGAGACTATTTTAATGGGGAAACATGCCAATGAACCTAGAAAAAAAATAAAGAGAAAGGAATGATACTCACCTCTTGCACAAACGAAACAAAAGCCTACATTTACAGCAGAGGAAGAATTATTGCTCCGTTTGGAATGATTACTACAGATGAGAATGTAGGAGGACACAAATATGCTTCCAGCAGCAATGCAAGCATCTCCTGAGTGATAGGCTACTGGACATCTTAAACATCTCATCATGCGACCTGTTCAAAGGCAAGTCAAAAAAGGAATCTATCTGTATGGTATGAAATAAGTATTTTGGAATTGGGCTTTTCTGGGTTCCCATATAATATCGGTTATAATAAGAGTAACATGTTTCTTTACAAGTCTGACTCTGTCATTCCTATGCTGTTGCAGTGTAGTAAATTACTTTGTGTGGCTTTTCTACCCATAAGTCTTTGTAAACTCCAAAGTGAGATTTTCTATGAGCAAGTGAAGAGCTCTTGATTGCTGAAGGTGTCCACCTGGAATATTTCTGTTGGGAGAAGCACAAAACAATGTTCTGGGAGGTGCCCACTCTCTCTCAGGTGCTTAGAGTTCTGATGCTATAATTGGCTAGTTTGACTACCCTGCGGGCTCTAAAGGAGACTTCCTGGAGGCAGAACTCTCTCTGACTGCTGGTTGAAGAAGATGTGCTGCTGAAAGAGACACGGGCTCCTGAGACACGCATTGCTGGCAAAGAGACGCAAGAGACAAGCATTGCTGAGTGAGACACCAAGGGACCAGCACTGCTGGGAAAGAGACTGTGAGAGACTCTTGGCTGAGGGACGGTGGGCTGAGAAAGAGACTGAGCATTCTTCCTGAACTTGAGTTGTAGCCTGGTGCTTCCCTAATAAACCCTGTAATCTGTGAGTTCTGTGTGGCCACTGCAGTGAATTATCGAACCCAGGAGAGAGGTGGTGGGTGCTTTGGGAGGAACGGTTGGTGAAAGGGCTGGAGGGAGGCAGCATGTTTGGCCTTGCAGTAATAGGCCTTGGGTTACTGCTGTCTTCCTCTTGTGAGATTAGAGGAGGTCAGAACATGTAGCCTCCTTGCCGTTTTTGCAGCTGTATAGCAACTAAATGCAAGCCAAATACTCATCCAAAGAAAAGTTTGTCTCCCCAGTGCTGGAGAAAAGGTGACCTCAAGTATGGCAATTGCCTAAAGGATTTTCAAGGGTAATTCTGAACATATGTTAATGTTCTCCTATGCTCTGAATTTACAACCTAATCCTGACTTCACATACTGTCTATTAGGGCTAAGCTGTTTTATGTATACAAGAACAAACAGAGGAAGAATGCTCAATGTTGTTTAAAATAATGTGCTTGTGCTTAATACATTATTTGCTACTGCACTTTAAAAAACAAACAAACTTTGTTCCCTTCTTTAGCTCTGTTTTACCTTTACTTGCTTTGTGGATATCTTTCTCCATGGAGCAGGAAGAGCAGCAGTGCTGGGGACAGCGAAATCCCTTTGATTCAAAGATGGCAGTGGGGAATTTGCGGACACAGGTTTCATGATAAAATTTCCCACAAGCACCAACAGAACAACGCTTCACATCTGTACCAGATACTTTACATGAAAAACATGGGTGCTGCCCTGGAAAATGGGTGAGGAACATAGATTAAATAAAATCTGATCAAAGCATATTCCTTGTGAATAGAAGTAGCTATGGAGATCAAAGAGCTACTCCCAAAATAGACTCTACTAGAATATGTAAGACTTTAAAATAAAAAAGGCACTTAAAATAAATGATCGAAAGAAAAGATTATTTAATAAATTTTGCTAGAATAACTGATTATGAATTTGGATATGTATAGCACCAACAACAATTTAGATCTCCACTCTCTACCAAAGTTAATTCCACTGAAAACTCAGATCAGAATTTTTCAACACATGGGAGCTGAGAGTGGAGAGGTCTTCCCAACACAGAAGTAAAAGAATTACCAAAGAAAAGATAGAATCCATTAGATAATCACTTATAATTTCTGTATGTAAAAGACACAAAATGAAAACATATAATCCTGATAGAAATGGCAGAAAATTACAGCTAGGCATATCATACTCAAACTGTAGAAAATCAAAGACAAAGAAAAATCATTAAAAGTACTCACAAAAAAGATTATTAATTGCAAAGAAACAACAGTAAGACTGGGAGCTGACTGAAAGAGAAAAATGGAGCCAGTAAATAATGGAATGCTATCTTCAAAGAACTGAAAGAAAATAATTGCCAAGCTAGAATTCTATATTCAGTGAAAATATTCCTCAAGAATGAAGTTAAATTAACATATGTTGAGAGAATTAACAAACCAAAGGTAGGTTCTTTGGAAAAAGGAATATTAAAACTAATATTCCTGGTGGTTATTGTTGTTGTTAGTTGCTGTGAGTCACTTCTAACTCATGATGAACTCATGTGTGTCATAGTAGAACTGTTCCCCAGGATTTTCAAGGCTGTGACCTTTCAAAAGCACATCACCAGGCCCACCTTCTGAGGTGCCTCTGGGTGGCTTTGAGCTGCCAACCTTTTGGCTAGTAGTGAAGTGCTAAACCATTTGTGCCACCTAGGAACTCCATACCCCTAGCCAATATCTTAAAATTAAAAAAAAAAAAAAAAAGTACAAAGAATATTAGAAACAAAACATGGGACATTACTACATCTCCTACAAACATTAAAAAGCTAATAAAAAATATCACTGTATTTGTGCCATTAATCTGCAAATTTAGATGAATAAACAGATTCCTAGAAAAATACAACTCAACAAATGCTGGCCAAAAAAATGAACAGAAAATATGAGTAGTTCTATAAACTACTAAAGAAATTGTAACTAAATGCCTTCCAACAAAGAAAACTCTAGGCTCAGATGACTCCATGGGTGAATTCTGCCAAACATTTAAAGGAAGGAAAAATGTCAACAGAGATAGAAGAAAAGAAGAAATAAATAAAGACAAACAGATGTGGAAAATATATGTAACAAAGATGACAAAAGCATATGTTTTGTTATATAAAAATGTTCACAAATGGAGAAAATACATGCAATATATCTAAGCAAAGATAACTAAAGAAGACATACAAAGAACCGTAAATCAATACAGAAAATAAAACAAACCAGCTAAATATAGAAATGTGTAAATGGTATGAACAGGCAAGTACATAAGAAAGCAACTGGGTGGTATTTATTAAAATAAAAATACGTTTCTTTCAGCCAAACAACAAACAGGTCTATAAGGTGAAACACAAGGGAGGTATGCATTACTTAAAACAATCAACCACATAAGATCAAATAGGAAGGATTTGCCCAGGGATAGAGCTCAGAAGGCAGGAACAGACAAGAAAGAAGGAAGAATAAGAAGGGGAAACACAGGAGGAAATGGGAAGAGTGCTATTACATTGTGAGGATTGTAATCAATGTCACAAAACAAAATGTGTATGAATTATTATAGGGAAAATGAAGTTGCTCTGTAAGTTTCACCCAAATCACAATTAAAAAAAAAAAAAAAATTCACTTCCTATGGCCTAGAAATGCCACTTCTTGATATCTGCATTAGATTTATACATATAAAACGATGTTCACTGAAGCACTGTTTATAATTGCAAAAAACTGAAAGCAACTCATATGTCAATAGGGGAATAGTTAAATAAACTGATACATCCATCTTATGGAATACTATGCAACAACAAATTGAATGTGTCTGTATTAACATAAAAATTAACGTAAAAAGAGCTGAGACACAAACTAGTGAAATAAGCAACCTGCAGAACAATATGATGTATTTTTATTATAACACACACACACAAATGTTATATACACACATACACAGAGAAAGGTTTGCAAGATTATCCACCAAACTGATAACAATGACTACCTCTGATAAGGGCCAGGATTAGGGAAGGGCCTAGGATTAAGTGTGATAATCAAGGGTGACTTGAGTTGTAATTTTAATATTTTTAAAGCAATGTGTTTACGCATTACTCGTGTAATTAGAAATAAATTTAAAATGTTAAAAAAGATAAGAAAACCATTAACACTATGAAACATAAATGGAGAAAAGGTATGAACAGATAATTCACAAGAGTCAATAAAGATATATGAAAAATATCTAGTTGCAAACGCAAATTATAACAACACCTTATCATGTATTTATTGGCCATTTGAGTATCATGTTTGGGGAAGTGTTCAAGCCTTTTGCCCATTTTTTTCTTTTAATGCCTGTGAGAAATTTGAAGGAAAAAATACAAGGAATAGTTTTTTGTTTTGTTTAGATTTTTTACAGAAAGTTAGTAGAATTTTATTACTGTTCTTTGATTTTGGAAGCACTTAAACTTTACAAATTGGTAGAACTATAAGAATTCTTTAAAATGATTAATTACAACTATGATGTTTGCTTTTTTTGACAGGCTTTATCATAGAAATACTTAATACAATTAAATTTTAACATGCATGTAGAAATAAAAGCAACAGTACATTTTTAAAACATAACTTTCAGAAATTTAAAAACTACTATAAAAGTAAAAGGTTTGACTTTGCAGCTTTTTCTAATGGATAAAAGTAAATCTACTCCATGTAAAAATGAAATACACTTTCACTGACATAATGGTCAAAGTAAGATTAATATAAATGAAAATTGGTTATAAATAGTGAAATTTAACAGAGAGCAAAAATATTAAACCCATTTAAGACTTAATGTTTGAAGCTCTAGCATGTGAATGCTTCCAAACACCCTCCATTCCACTAGAATTGGTCCTCATTAAGAATAAGTAAAAAGCAAAACTGTCTGTTGTAGTCTCTTTTTTTATTACACATTTTATTCCAAAGGGCAAATGAAAATGCATTCTTTCTGGAAATCACGTTTGTTGTCAATAATAGAAAGTGATAGTATAGGAATTTATCGAGCATATATCCTATAATAGTTTTCATGTGTAAAGTGTTTTCTTTTGATAAACAAAGGAAAACTGACTAAATGACCTTGAGCAATGGTTTGAAAATTTGAGTTTTCACTCTTAATATGTTAAAAGTAAACCAAACTGGTACCAAACTAGTTTTAATGGGAAACAAAAAAATAAAAGCACTTTATTGTTTTTAAAGCAAACATTCCCCTTAAATTACCTAAGAGATACATATAAACTTAGATTATATCTAACTTTTGTTGATAGGATTCTACTGGATTCTAGAATTAGAGAGGCCCTAAGAGTGTTTGAATACTGAGATATGTGGCCCTATCAACACTTTAAATCAGAATTACAATCTTAAATGCTTAAAGTCGGGACTAGGGAGGTTACACAAATGACTGGAATGACAAGCTTTTAGAAAAGGGGAATGACAGGGAATGTGGGGAATCAGGAGGATGAGCCCACTACGTTTAAAAATTCAAATCACACTCCAAGTGTCAAATAAAACAATACCAGATATTTGGCATACTGTTCAACAGTTTCACTGCAGAGTCTAAATGTGATTAATTTTATATACTGTGATGGTATTTTATATGGAAAAAAATGTTGTATGTTCTAAACAGCTTTTATAGCTTTATTTTGTGTGTGTGGTATATGTGTATGTGTCTATTAGTTTATATGATATACAATCTCCATATTACTTAGCCAAGGCAATAGGAGGCAACAGTAAAGAACAAAGGTTCTAGAATTGGGCTGCCTGGGTTTAAATCCCAGTTTCATTATATGCCATTTTTGTGACTTTGGGCTAAACTTTCTAATCCTCAGTTTCACACTCTGTAGAATGGAAATAATAATAGTACTCTTTCATAATGTTATGAGGATCAAATGACAATATAGTAAGTCAGCATATTATATATATGCTATTCGATTAGCTCTTAGTTCCTCATGTCGTCGTCGTCGTTGTTGTTGTTGTTACGTGCCGTCAAGTCAGACCTGACTCATAGCGACCCCTCCTTGGGTTTCCGAGGTGGTATCACTATGGAAGTAAATTGCCCAATCTTCCTTCTGAGAAGTGACTGGCAGGTTTGAACTGTCAGCCTTCTGGTTAGCAGTCAAATACCTTAGGCACTACAGTACCAGAGCTCCCTAGTTCCTCATAGCTAAAATAAAAACAACACAACACAAACATGGTTCCTAAGAACATTACCATGCCATCTTCAGTTGTTTTTTTATTTGCCTTGTTACAGATTAAACAACTCTACTTTCTGCTTGTTATGATTTTATCTACAGTCATAGCTACACAGAAGAGAAATAAAAACTTGTATAGTTCTTTCTCTGTACATTATTTTCATAGGTGGTAGTTTGTTTGGAAGAATAAGAAACAAACAGTGAATCTTTAGATTCAAGTGAAAAAAAAAACTGCCAGTAGCACACTCTTTCCATTAAAAATACAATCACAATGGTTACAGTTTGTGATAGACACTTATTCTAGCTTACTAAAGTTTAAAAGACTTTAAACTAATTTATTGAGCACAAAAATTTCAAAAAGTTCTCATCTGAAAAATAACTCAGTATACGTTGTGTAACCTTTTAGATAAAACACAAACACATCTCAATGGATTGGTTAAGTTCCATGGTAAGGTTAACTATTCTTCTGATAATGAGAAGCTTCTAATCACTGAAGGGGTGAGTCTTAATTTGATGAAATAAACTATAACCCAAAACCAAACCCACTGCCTTCAAGTCAATTTTGACTCATAGTGACCCTAAGACAGAGAAGAAGTGTGCTGCAAGGTTTCCAAGGATATAAATCTGTACACAGACTGCCACATCTTTCTCCTGCAGAGCAACTGGTAGGTTCAAAGAGCCAACCTTTTATTTAGCAGCTGAGCACTGCACCACCAGGACATTTGAATTTAACTATACCAAAAAAAAAAAAAAAATCCCAAACTCACTGCCATGGCATCAGATCTGACTAGTGACCCCTCCTTGGGTTTCCGAGGTGGTATGTCTATGGGAGCAGACTGTCCAATCTTCCTTCCGAGGAAGGGCTTGGTGGGTTTGAACCATCAGCCTTCTGTTAGCAGTCAAGTGCCTTAGGCACTATGCTACCAGAGCTCCTGAAATTAACTATGGGAGGGTATAAATAAGCTAGAAAAAAGTAGTAAGAGAAATAGATGTCATGGAAGATGTTGGCACTGTACATTCCTCCCTTTCCATCTTTTTACATCTATCAAAGTAAGGAAGCTTACCAGTTTTACATTCCATGCAGATGAATTTTCCATCAGGGGCTGATGTCAGTCCCAGGCACTCCAGATGAAAGTGTTTGCAGCACTCTCCCTCACAAGCAATCAGAGAGTCACCAGAGCTTTCACAGATCTATTATATGGCAAAAAGCAATAGTTCAAAATCTTTAGCATGCATCAGAATCACCTGCAGGGTTTGTTAAAGTAGATTGTTGGGCTCCATCTTAAGTTTCTCTTTAAAAAAAATTTACTGGGCTTTAGGTGAAAGTTTACAGAGCAAATTAGTTTACCATTCAATACACATAAAGCATTCCATGCCATTAGCTGCATTCTCTACAATGTGCCAGCACTCTCCCAATTTCTGCCTTGGGTTACTCATTCCCTTCCCTCCACAAATTTTCTACCCCTTCCTGCCTTCTCATCTTTGCTGTCCTTTTGAGCTAATATAATTGTCTGTTCTAAGGAACATATTCCTCTCAGGCATTACTATTTATTTTATGGACCTATTATGTGGCTGAAAGGCAATTTCCAGCAATGGCTTCAATTACAAGTCAGAAGAGTGTTTTAGGACCATAGTCTCAGGAGCTCCTCCAATATCTGACATACCAGTAAGTCTGGTCTTTTTGGTGAATTTGATTTTTTGTTCTACATTTTTCTCCCACTCTGTTCAGGACCATCTATTGTGATCCTAGTAAGGGGGGTCAGTAGTAGCAGCCACACACCATCTAGTTTTTCTGGTCTCAGGGTTGTATGGGCTGTGGTTTCTGTGGTCCATTAGTCCTCTGGACTAATTGCTCCCTTGAGTTTTTGTTTTTTTTCTATTCTCTTTTGGTCTAGACTTAAAGAGACCAATAGTTGTATCTTACATGGCCACTCACAAGCTTTTAATACCCCATATGCTGTTCACCAAAGTAGTATGGAAAACACTTTCTTTACAAACTATGTTGTGCCAACTGATGTAGATGTCCCACAAGTCTATAGCCCTTCATCTCTGATCCTAAGAACTTGGTTCTGTGGGGTGTTTGGTTATGTCTAAAAAGTTTCCATGAAGGTGACCCTTGTGTGCTCTATTCAACTATACTAATATATATGCAGCACCTACAATTATGAACGTAGAAATATCTACAACCAAACTTATACCTGCAGGTGGGTGTGCTCACTTACACCCTCTCATCACACTTCTTTAGTGTACCTATCTACCTATGTATCCATTTGTGAATTGTTTAATACTATTATTGCAGTACTGTCTACAGTATTGTATTATTACAGTAATTACTGTAAAAAAAAAAAAAAAAAAACAAACTCACTGCCACAATCAATTCTGACTCATAGCGACCCCCCTTTTGGGTTTCCGAGGGAGTAAATCTTTACAGAAATAGATTGCTTAGTCTTCCTTCTGTGGAGTGGCTGGTGGGTTTGAACCACCAACCTTCTAGTTAGCAGTCAAATGCCTTAGGCACCACATCACCTTGTAATTACTGTAGTTGTCCTTTACTCTTGTGTTCCTCTCAGTGTCTTCTCCTTTGCCTTGATCATGTTGTGTTGATTTACCCCATACTGTTTACTGCCTTTTCCTTTACCATTATTAACATGTCTTTTCTATCAATTAGTAATGTTCTCTCCCTCCCTGTACCATTCCAGCTAACCATCAAAGAACATTTCTTTTTTAAAAATAATAGTGGTCTCAAACAATATTTGTCCTTTTGCCATTGATTTAATTCACTCAGCAAATGTCCTCCAAATTCATTCACATTGTGGGATGTTTTGCGGATTCATTTTTTATCATTCCATAGTATTCCACTGTGTATATACACCACAGTTTGTTTATCCATTCATCCACTGATGAACAGTTAGGTTGTATCCATCTTTTTGCTACTGTGACCACTCCCAGAGTTTCTGATGCAGTAAACCCAGGCCCAAGAATCTGCATTTCTAACGAGTTTCCTAAAGATACTGATGTTGTGGGTCCACAGACTTCACTTGGAGAATCACTGAACTATATGACTATTACCAGACCCAATATGGTATGAAGTTTGAAAGCTATACTTTATCTTGTATGATTTCTTCTTTGGGATCTGCATAGTTTAAACTTTTCTTTATAGGTCAAAGCAGTAATTTCCAAGAAGGGTAAATATGTGTTTTTTTTTTTTTTTCAAAGTTAACATCAACAGAAATTTAAAAAAATATTTTTGATATCACTCATCTCCCATTTACTTATAGTTAATAATAGTATATCACAATGAGCACCTGCATTTACATAAGTATCTATTCCAACTCAAAAAAGGAAGAGCCAGAAATGACTTTTAGATCTTTAAAGTGTCCTTAAGGATTAAAAGGATGTCGTATTTTTCAAAGACACTATCTTCTTAAACACAAAGTAGGTATATTATTGGTATAACACTACAGCCAATTGTTTCAAGCCACAGGATCAGAAGCCTGCCTACCTGACAAACAGTGTCCTTCTTACTCATTCCAATGCCTCTTCTTGACAAACTTGAATCCACGGACTGCACATCAGAAGCGTCTGCATCTGCAGTAGCTGAAGGGCTATCTACTTGCTTTCCAAAGCTTACCTAGGTGGAAAACAAAGCACATTTTTAAGATAAACAAACTAAGACAATACCTCCCTCAAAGTTTGGTACTATGAAAAACCTAGCAAGCTTTGCTCAAACAGAGCTTAATACGACCTCTTTTTTCTTTCTAAAACCCATAGATACCATATGTCTGGCATTTTGGGACAAAGTATAGTTAAAAAAAAAAAAAAAAGGCAAATAAACAAAACTGAAGGCATCAGTAAAATTAGTGACAAATAAATAAGTAAAATAACCAGTCATTTCTTCTTTATGTGTTATCTTTAAAATTCCCTGATTATCTCCAAATGACTTAGGCAAAACATTACTTTGATTTTGCATACAAAAAAAGAGCACTTTGCCCAGACACTGCACATATTTACCTGCAGATCACTCAGTCCTCTAGAATCGGAGTCAGATGTGTCTCTGTACGCTGAACTAGTCATTTCTACATCAGTTGAAGCGCGACTCCTTTTCTTTAGAGGTTTACAGGAATCTGAAATCTCGCTGGCACCTTAATATAACACACTGAAATTAATCCTAAAATAGTGCTTAAAGTTTGTTTTAATTTTTCTGTGGGAGAATATTTTCTTTCCCCAAACTCATCTTTAGTGTGAAAAAAAGCACAGCTCTCTTTGTAACAGTGAAGTCACAAGTCAAAACTTCGTAAGCTTCTGACCTTCCTGGTAGTGACTGATTTAATTTAAAACCACTCTATTAAAACATTTATTTCAGTGCTCCTGTTCTAAAGCTATTTCCAGTCGGCAGAGCCCAAGTTCCAACCTAAAAACCAATTCTATCAAAACTGCAGGACAGATTGATTTGGAGCAATCCAAAGAACCATTCAATTTGGAGGGGGAAGACATAAAACCCAACACACTGTGTAGCTTACAAATATGGTTGCAGAGACATCTCCATCTTGTTTTTTATTAGGGATGTGACAAATCTTTGATTTGTATTCGATTCGTACACGGACAGTGCCATTTTCCCCCGAATTTTGTAATTCAGTTGATTATCTCCCCCCCAAATAAATTTTGGATGTTCATAATTGTTCATCTGAGACTTCCTTGGTGAAGTGTCATTTATTGTGACCATTAACAAGTGCTGCAGCACATCTACATATGTCATGCCATTTAGGAGGCACACTGCTGAGGGTTGTAAATGGACAATCAGTGTTCAAATACAGCTAAATCACGAAGAGCTGGATGAGAGGCCTCTATGTGGATGGAATTTGTGCGGAAGGAATACATATAAGGGGGAAAAAAAAGGCAGAGAATAGTGTGGAATTCTTTTTTAAAACTGTGTGTAATACAAATTCAGCCAAAACAATAAGTGCAAAAAGTTACAAAGCAACAATCTCTTGGGCTAATGCAGTATAGGCTATACAGAAACAGCCACGATGAAATGTGCAGATCAGGCACGGTGAATACCAAGGAACCAAGGAGATGGTTAATATTTCAACCCACAGTTTTGTGTTTTGGATTTTTCCCCAAAAAATTTCCATACAACAAACAGACATCTAGATCAGCCCAGCAAGCTATGGTGGAAGTGTGCAGTCCAGAAGAGACCATGGAGAAACAAGTCTCCTGAGGCCATGAAGATCCGCAACAGGTGAGTGAGAGCAGCACTTGGTATATAGCCATGTTCTGTGGTAGAGGATGTGGGCCTCGTTAGACTGCTCAGATTACTGGAATCTCGTTATCATATATCCCATTCTACAGGTTTTTCACTGAATGTTTCCTGATATCTATAAATGAGGGTGCCTGCCCATGTTAATACTGATTAAAAATCACAAGTACACAAATCTATCTCCTTCATTGCTGGTGTATGGACCCAGAACACCACCACAAAATATTTCCTTGGCCTAAAAGATCACTGGATTAACAAGGAGTTTTAACAGAGGAACAGGAGTGCTGTACTGAGAGGCTTTCGAAGGGAAACACAGGTACCGCCAATTCCGACGAGTTTCTGAAAATGCTAGAAAAATGACAGACTGCCAAAGACAGCTGCCATGCTGTTCTCCATGATAACGGCACTAATATTAAAAAAAAAAAAAAAAAAGAGCTTTTAATGATTGTAATGTATACAGTTTGGGCTGTCTGGCAAAACCCTGCAGATGTGCATTAATGATGCTTTATTTAAAAACAAAAAACAGTCCATGTTGAAATTGATCAGTGTAAGTTAAACGGTGGTTTTTAGGCTGGACCCATGATTTAAGCTGTACCCATCCAGCTCAGACCGGAAAAAAAAAATCATTTGAATGTTAAAGCAATTGTTCAGAGTCTTGAAGAAACCAGGCAGGAAAATCCCGATAATGATGATTGGCAAAATCAAAATCGAAAACAAAGAAACTGTTTATCGAGCCGCCGACAAAGAAATCTTGCATGGAGACTACAAGTCTGGAGTTTCTGGGATGAAATTGTACAGGAATCTCAGTCCACAGTTTCCTCAATCGCTGCGGAGACGGAGCTGTCACTGAATCTGACAGAGCCCTGCACTCCCCGGTCCGCCGACCCTGTGGAATGGTGGAAACACAACGCAATCAGGCCTCCTAATCTCGCAGCGATCGCGATGTCTTTTCTTGGAGCTCCGCCAAGCAGTGTTCCCTCCGGGAGGCTGTTCAGTTCTGCTGAGGATCTCCACGGAGACCATCGCTGCAGACTTCTCCCCGAGAATGCAGAGAGGCTGGTGTTTTTTTTTTTTTTTTTTTTAAATAATGCAATTTGCCCAGAGTAAACTACAAGTATTAAATACAGTTTGAATGATCTCACCAAAAACGCACGAATCATGCTATGGAGTTTGTACTGTAGTCAAATTGCACACATAAAATACAGATATAAGTTTAAGGTTTCTTAAACTTTGTGCATATCTCAAATAGATTTGCATAAGGTCATCTAATAGTGGCCATAAATATGCTATGAATCATTTCAATTTACAAAAGGATTTTACAGCACTGTAAAAATAACCGTGGCAAGATTTTTTCAATCAGGTTGTCTTGTCTGATTTGTCATAGTCCATGTTTGACAAACATTTAATAGCTACTATTCGGTATTCAGTCGAATACCAAAAAAAGTGGATTCGTCACATCCCTAGTTTATAAACCAATGAAACCCCAAAACCTTATGGAGAAAAGTTGGAAATGGTATCAATTCTACATGGTGTTCTCCAATTTACAAAAACAAATTAAGGCTTTTTCACATGGAGGTACAGAATAAGATCAACTCTAAAAGTCACACACACACAAACAAACACCGGGGAATATTGTAATTTCACACGAATTATTGACTGGAGAGCAACAACGATTTACAGAGACAGACAAAAATACATGAAATACAAGTAAGTAGTTCTTAAAAATTGGTTTTAATCAAGGAAATGCAAAGTAACATTATATATTAACTCACCTTTCTGTAATCCAGTCTTCACTGTCGCCTGAGGAACTGTTTCAACCTGTATGGGTAGAAAAATACAGGATTAAAAAGGAATTTTTTCACTTTTAATTAATAGAGGAAAAAAAATACTTTTCATCAATCTAGTAATGATGAGTGATTAATGTATCTGAAATCTGAAGCTAGTCCCATCTTCTGGTTAAGTGCTCTGTCTAAAGGTCAGGGAGGGTTTAAACGCTAGCTGCCTGCGCTGAATACCAAGTGACAACACACAGCCACATGCTCTCTAGCAAAGACTTTTCCCACCACTCCCTTGGTATACGAAGAGAACAAGAATACTTCCTTCAGTGTCTGGGAGGCAGGAGAGGGGGTTGTTTCTGCAACCAGCCCCGATGTTGCTATAAACCCCTCCCGCCCCAAAGACATTAGGATAAATTTTTACTTACTATGATACTCAGGTTAATGTAACTCACGCCACTTTAAGACCCTTCCGCGCCTGCACTCACAGCTAAGTTGCTGGGAATCAGGACCCTCTCTGTAGAGAGTGCTACAGGGCTGCATACATCTGGAAGCTCAATACTTTTGCTGCTAGTACAAACTTAAGAAAATAAGTTTGTGATATTGCAAAAGCACTTTCTTGAGTGTCTTATGAACAGTGTCTTGATCCTACATTAGGAGAGCGAGATCAGAAGTTATTCTGCCAATGTATATGTAAAACACGTGGTAATTGGAGGATTGAACCATTGTAATTAGAGAAAGGATGTTTGGAAGAGTTCCTGTTTAAGCTATGAGTTGTATTTTATGTTTCTTTAGGATGTGGTGAAATATGCATATTGAAACGCATTTTGTAAATATTTAAGGATTGTTCTAAGCTTTTTAAAAAAAAATTTTATTATTTTTTTTTACAACAGGTAAAAAAACATACAACAGAAGCGCTTTTATAAGATACAATTAGTAATACAAATATAAAATCTTCTAAACAATCACTGGTATTGTTCTACTACTAACTTTAACACAATTTGTTTTTCCCATGGTTTTTGTACTCATGTTGCTTAATTTTAAACTGACTGGTCACAGACTGAATTTGGGAACCAGCTGGCAAAATCACAAGAAATTTTGATAATGAATACTATAGATTTTAAAAGCTTAGAAAGATTTTTTGGAATATGATTTCCTAAGAATGAAAATTAATATGATCAATGAATTAGTGTATTATTTAATTTTAGTTAAGCATTTCTGGGAAAATTGTTTTACATGTTTGGTGATGCCATAGAGTATGCACCTTTTTGTTTGGAAGTTTAAAATTATACAGGAATAATTAAAATAGAAAAGTCCATGCTCTTTCATATTAAGTGGTTTTAAAATACAAAGCTTACTGGAATTGATTTTACTCAACATTCTTTTTGTTCAATAGCGCTGTGTGGGCTATAAAAATGAGTATCCTTTTAGGTTAAAAAAATTAAGAAAAATTCTGATTGTGAGTTTAATTCAAAGCAGCAATGGTTTCTAAAAATCTCTTTGAAAAGGTAATTTAATATATATATTATCCTACTGATTACACTAGTTTAAACCCTTCAGTCAAGATGCCTTTTTAAAAAAAAATTTTTAATATTATTTATCTTATGACCTAATTATAGTGAGTGCTATTCCACTGGAGGAAAATAACATTCCAAAAAATCTGTAATACCAACAGAAAAACCAGATCATCTATGGTTATGTTTCTTAAATATAACTCTTATAGTTAAATTAATTGGATTTGTTTAAAAAATAAAAACAATACATACTAGCAGCCTAAATCAAAAATGGAAAATAAAAAAAGGGGAAGGGAACTCAATGTTGGTTCCAAATAAAAAACATGAAATCATTTTGCTCATAACAAATTTCAAAATAAATGTGAGGGATTCTTTAAGAGTCTTGCACTACTGGCTTCCCAACTCCTGAAACCTGACTGTTTTTCTATAAAAATGCTTGAAACAGAAGCACAGGGATGATTTTGTTAGAATCAGGCACTGGAACCCACCAGGACAAAAACAGAAAGGTAGTCTGGAAAGGAAACTTGGGGTTGGGAGCAGGGACGGGGAGTTTTTCTTTCTTTTCAGTTACCAATACAGGCTAAAACATTTACAAATACAATGTTTTAACTCTCTACATGTAGGAAGCCAACCTGCTCCTTTTTGATCTTCTTCTTTGGCACAACCTCAGTGGATTTCTCTGATTCAGAACGAGTTCTAATTGATCTTCTCTGTTGCTTCTTTTCTACTGAACCTAAGGGATGATATAAACCAACAAATAAAAACTCATTTAAGGATGTCTTGATATTTAAATAATTAAGATTTGACTACATTTCTTGTTTTTATTACCCAGTACTTCTGGAATTTTAATTATAATTCATTAAAAGGCTATTAAATACTTAGGAGTACATAATACTTTTATGGATCAAATTCTAAGGCTGGTGAGCTTAAACTGGGATTTACAAAGGACCCTAAATTATACAAACAAAAGGACTTGAATTTTTAAAAATCATAAAGTCAAGTTAAAGCAGCACAGGAATAGTTTAAATGGCAAGTAAAAACCTTTAAGTAAATACAATTAGTAAAAACCTTTAAGAAAATAAAATTGGAGGGATGAGAATGATTTTATTATTCAGTTTACATTAGCAATTATTGGTTCAAAATTCAATCAGCCTACAGATCTTCCATTTTAACAAATGAATTTAATTAATTCTATATGTAAAATAAGGAGCTCTGGTGGCATAGTGCCTAAGGCATCTGACTGCTAACTAGAAGGCTGGCAGTTCAAACCCACCAGCCACTCCCCAGAAGGAAGCCTGGGCAATCTACTTCCCTAGAGATAATGCCTCAGAAACCTAAGAAGGGGTCACTATGAGTAAGAACCAACTTGACAGCAGCGAGTTTTGTTTTTTTGGTTTTATATGTAAAATGCTTAACAGTGCTTGGTGCGTAGTTAGCATATGTATAGTAAGTTTTGCTTTGTCATGATTATTACTAGCAACCAAGAGGGAAAAAATTGGGAAAGGCACAAAAATGTGACCCAAAACCTAGTCGTTGATTTGATTGTTAAAGACCTGTCATACATCGGAAAGAACTAGTCATGGTAGAGTTAAAAGAAATTATCAAGCTTATCCATGTCAGATGCTAAAACAAGAAACCACTAAGATTTTGAAATAGCACAATTGTTTAAAATTAAACAGAAGGAAACTCACATGGACTTCATTTTTAGAAAGTATAAAACTTAAAGACCATAATTTTTTGAAAGAACACTAACTTAGGAACGATTCCTTCAGTGCAGCTGTTCTCCATCTTTTCAGTCTCTAAAACCAAACCAATTGCAGTTGACTCAATGTCAACTCATAGCTACCTTATAGGACACAGTAGAACTGCCTCGTAGGGTTTCCAAGGCTGAAACTTTATGCAAGAAGACTGCCACATCTTTCTCCCGTGGAGCCACTGGTGGATTCGAACTGCCACGCACTTAATCACTGCACCACGAGAGCTCCTCTTTCAGTGCTTCTAAAAACCAAACCAAACTCACTGCCGTCAAGTCGAATCTGACTCCTTGGGTTTCCAAGGTGGTATCACTACAGAAGTAGATTGCCCAATCTTCAGTGCTTGGACTACCAAAATAGTCCTCCTGGAGAATAATCAACTCTCACTTGCTACAGGAGGAAGCTGCTAAAACGTCCTATAAAATCAGATAGACGCTACTTCAATATAGCTGTCCTCTAGATTTTCTAGTTTCATTGCTCTTGGCTATGTGTAAATGGCTTCCCTTAACTTAATTCAAAGTCAAAACAAAGAATAATCCCACTACTTTGTTTTGGGGATGAAGTGGGTAGTTTAATGGTAATCTATTATTTCTGAGCTGTGGTTAATCAATATCTAGCAGAAAAATCACAGATAAAGGTGTTGGCTCCTTCCTTTACTATCACTCTCCTCTTTACATTAATAAAAATGTTTACTAAGTAAAAGAGATAGTATACCCTCATACATCAACCAATCTTAGGATCACAAAGATCCATACATTATCATAATCCTCAGTATTCAAGTATTTACCAGGGAAAAGGACAATGAAAATGGAACTGCTTAAAAACAAAAAATCTTTATTTGTTTTAAGGACGACAATAATTGTTCCGTCAAGTGTAGATAAGATGTAATCTACAGACTTATTGAGAATATGGCAACATGACTTCTTAAAATTATTCTGAAAGCTACCCAAAGAACACATAAATTCTACTAGATTTGAAAACCACTAAGAAGTCCTATACTCAAGTTCTAAGGAAGGAGAGGGGAACATATCTGGATTTGAAAAACCACCCAGAAATCTAATGTGAATGTGAAAGCAATTCTTTAAACCACAGAAACATGTGTCAGGTCACACATTTGATTTATGTCCTAAAGTTATCAAAAACAAAAAACACCCTCAAGAATTCTCCCTAAATAATTAACACCAACTGAGATCATGATGCAACTGGTTTTTGAAAAGAGAAAAAAAAAATCTCTTTTCTAAGTTTCAACTACTGGATTTATTTTCACAAGAAGCAAAATGATCATGTTAGAGGATAAAATATGCTCATTAATCACAGCTGGTAACTCAATTTAAACCAAAGACAAAGCTTTAGAGTACTCATCATGAAATTAAAGTTCCAATCTTAATTTACAACCTAAATTATATGTGCCTGCCTATGGAAGAAATAAGGCTTTTTCCAGATATAAAGAACTAAAAAAGAAAAAAGTCCATAGCAGAACTTAAATCTTATAATTAAAAGACTACATGAAGTGTAGTGAGGGGAAGGGAAAAAAGCTCCATTAAAAACAAAACTAAAATAAAGTTAAGATCAGTCTAATATTCTATATGAAGAATTCACTTTCTAATTAGGAGGAAGTAGATATTTAAATAAAGATTCTCCTAACCTCAGTCTCCCACTTAAATTCAAACAAATCACCAACAGTTTACTGGAAAGAGAAACAACAAAACTGATATGCTTCAGTATGGAAAGCTGAAGCCAGAAGATTACTTTAAAATTCAGAAAGACAGGAACAAACATTTTCAATTATGGCTAATTAATGAAAAAGCTTTTATTTACTCATTTCTTCAACATTACAATTTCATTTTTTATTACAGTATTTTGAAATAATAAAAGTTGTAAATCTGGCTCTGGACAGTTATCCCTTCTCTTTAATTCATCTTCCTTTCCCAATTAAAGTTTGGATAATGGTATACTGTTTAATATGCCCGATCCATCCAGTATATGCCCCATCTCCTCTGCCACCTCCTCCCCCGCCTACCTTTTTTTTTGTTGTTGTTAAAAGAAAACTAGCCCCAAGTCTTTTCTAGAACACAGGTTGTTTTTATTTAGCTCTTATACTAATTAGGATCTTAATTAACATTTCCATTACAAAAAGATTTACCCATCAATACCACTCAATCACAGATTTGCCTGAATTACTATTGATTCAATATTAAGACCTTAGGTCGTAAGACTTTAATCCTTCTAGAAAATTAAGTGGTAAATTCTTATATTTCAAAAACTTTTTTAAAAGACCAGAGTGAAACTCTTTCTCCTAAATTAAGATTCCCAATATAAATAATCAAGATACCCAATTCTTTTCTTGATGGCCATATGAAGCAATACTACTGATGTTATACTTTTATATAAATTAAACCTACCAGACTCAGTTAAAACTGTAAGATCCATAATAAGCCAATCTCTTAACAAAAATCACTTTGAACATTCCAAAAGCACAACCAACTGAACATAGGCATTTCTCCTTTAAGCAAGAATAACATGGATTGATTTTCAATTCATGGTATCTGTTCAGAGAACAGATTATATAATGGGAGAAGTAGGCCCTTGGGCCCTCAGCTACTAATCTCTAGCACATCTAGGAATAATGAAAAGAGGGCTGGCATCTGCCCCTTGGTTTCCAATGCAGGATAAAGGAGAAAAAGGAGAAAATGGTAAGAATATATTAACAAGTGATGGAAAAGTAAAGCTGATACTTTCATGCAAAGACAGAACCAAATGATGCATTTACTTAAATATGTTGAGATTTTATAGCTACACTCTTCTAATTATAAAACCTTCCTATTTTTAAAATTCCTCTAGGAAAAATAACTGTTACTATGAACAAAGTTCTCTACCCACTAACCCATTATTTTCTTATTGAAAGATATATGTTTGTAATTCTCTTATTAATATAATTTGATTTTGACTATTAAAAGTTTCTTAGGAACACAGCTAAGAACAAAACTACCACAACGCAACACAATGCACTGCTGTTGAGTCAGATCCAACTCATAGTGACCCCTCCTTGGGTTTCCGAGGCGGTATCACTACCGAAGTAAATTGTCCAACCTTCCTCCGAGGAGTGGCTGGTAGGTTTGAACCAGCCTTCTGGTCAGCAGTCAAATGCCTTAGGTGCTACATCACCACAAAACTATGACCTCTCAAAATGGGTCTACATAACACATGCCCTGGAGAGAACAATCATGGGAGAAGGAAGGGCTGCTTATGCACAGGGAGATAGCTCAGGGTGCAGAAGAGTATGAAAGGACGGACACTGGGAGAAGTGGGAGGCGAGCTGCTGCATTGTAAATTTTGGTCAATGACATGAGACAAAGTATATGTGAACTGCTGTATGAAAAGTGAATTTACTCTGTAAATCTTCACCCAAATCCTAATTAAAAAAAAAAAAAAAATGGGTCTACATACTCTTCATTTATACCAACCTGTAGGGCCAGATGTTCCTTCAGGAGATGATATATTCTGAGTTGCCTTTTCATTTCTTTGATGTGGAGTAGAAATTATAAGCCTGTCTTGTCCCCTGACACTTATTTCCGTTTTGTTACCAATTCCCTTTAAAATAAGGTAAAGTAAAAACTAGGTGATTACCAGGCACATGGCATCAGTGACATAAAGACTGCTTTAACGATGATAATTTGCTTAAATTTTATAAGGTCCTTCACTGCAGTTAATTTACCCATTATCAGAATAATTTTGTTAAATCATCAGGCTATATTCTAAAATGTAAAATGAGATCATGGAGAAAAACCAATTTGTCTAAGTACAGGTGATGAATATCACTAAAAATGAACCTACATTACCTAATTTTCTGTTAAAAGCAATGTGTTTTCTGGTCTGAATACTTATCTCCTTTTACACATATCAGAATATAAGAACTCTAGTTCTTTTCATTTGGTAAATGCCCTAGTACACAGATAAAAATGTCAACATGTCTTGGGAGACAATATTCTTAGATACAGAAATACACTATTCATGGTAACCAAAATGTGCATTCAACAAGCAATTTGGAGAAGAGAGAAGGCAGGCACAATTGCAATTCTGTCTCTTGTAGGTATTTTTAACCCCCCAAAACATGAGTGATATAAAAATATATATATAAAAAATATATATATATATATATGTATGTATTTATATACACATATACATATTTGTGTTTGTGTGTGTGTGTATAAAAAAGAATCAGATTTATTGTGGATTTTCTTTTAATACCACTCTGTGGGTGTGTGTATAAGAGACAAAGTTTGATTTGTGTATCCAGAAGCAGGTAAAACTGGCATCAAGAATGTAAGCAATTTTCATTTAAAAACAAAACATGTAAACAATTCATTTGCTATTCAAAACTATCAGGAGAACCAAGTACATATTGCAACATAAGTTTTCCCAGGTAGATTGTTATAGTGTTAGTAGCCATTCAAGTCAGCCCCAATTCACAAGGACCCCATGCACAACGGAACAAAACACTGCCTCATTCTGAGTAATCCCCCATGATCCACTGTCAATTGGACTGTTTTCCCTGGCCAGTTTTCAAAAGTAGAGCACCAGGCCTTTCTTCCTAGTCTGTCTTTGCCTAGAAGCTTCAATGAAACCTGTACAGCATCATAGCAACCTACAAGTCTCCACCGATAGTTGAGTGATGGCTGCACATAAGTTGCGAAAGGTGCATTCCCCTCATGGAAGGGGAGAATTCTACCACTTTACAGGTAGGTTATCCAACCAGTTGCTGTGGAGTCAATTCCAACTCATGGCAACCTCATCTATGTGTTGCAGGGTAGAACTATGCTCCATAGGGTTTTCAAAGCTATAACCTTTTGGAAGCAGATCACCAGACCCCAAGTGCCTCTGGGTTGGCTGGAACCATCTACCTTTTCAGCCAACGCTATTGAGCATTTAACCTCCTTGTGCATGCCACATTGTTAGGCCTGAAGGCTGGCTGAAGATGCTATATCACCTCTGCTATCATCAAAGTTAATTGTTACAGAAGGAACACAGTTGTGGTATTTTTCTAAAACACAGTGAGATACCCTAGCTAACATAAGCCTAACAAAATAGCTTGTATAACCAAACAAATCAGAAGGTACAATTATTACAGTGGCTTTTAAAATAATGATTAGTTCAGATAACTGACAAAAATGATTTAATATGAAGCATATTTTATAACCAAGAAAGACTAAGTATACAAACTAGAAACAGGCAAAGTGCCAGTTTTCTTCCACTACTTTAGGGAGCTAAGCTCAATTTTGGCTACATAGCTCAAGATTAATGTAGTACAGATGGGAATATTGCAAAAGAGAAAAAACATACCAAAAATAAGAGAAAAAGAACATAACATCTTTGCCTGTCTTTTCTGTCCATTTTAAACAGAGTAGATGATTGCACATCTCAAATACAATGGGCACAAAGGATACACAAACTATGTGCTTGTGTTGGTTTTTTTTATTTTTATGCCAAGGTTGATTATTTATTAAATACCCTCCATAAAAACATGAAATGTGAGTACCTTTGTTGAATAAACAAATTGATCGATAAATTTCCCATCTCCTGTTGCATTCTGAAGAGCAAACACTTGTTCAATTTTCACAACCGGAGACATGTTACATTTCTGCAGATCCAGGCTCCCTTTGTGCATTGTAATAGAAGCTGGTAAGGATTTCCTTGCTGCCGCTGTTTTCCAAGCTATTTTAACAGGAGGCGGTTCTTCCTCTTCCACACTTGTGTGCCGCCTCTGGCTATGTCTCCGAATTTCAGTACTTGATGGTGAGGAAGCCACCTCCCCTGCATTGGTCTGTTCTGACTGAGGGTTCAGCACTGATCTTGATCTCCGGGGTTTTTTAACTTCAGCTTTGGAGGCAACATGCTTTTTTGCTTGTGATAAAGCCTCTTCAGGCTGTTTATCAATATAGATAAAAGTATACTGTTCTATTCTTTCTTCTCGAGTCATTTTCAATGCTTTCTCTGCATGAGCAATGCCAATATCCCATTGAGCACGTTCTCTCTGAGGTCGGGGTTTCCGAATCTTTAAAAAAGATACAGGCATTACCCTTTGATAATACTTTAATAAGTACTTTTAAACAATTATGTATTTCTACTGTGATCCTGTTATCTTTTCAGGTATATATGAAATAAGTATTTTCAGATTCTTCAGTTAAGTAAGTGAAATGCTCTATCTCCATAATGTTGATAAATAAGTATTACTATTAGGTAACATGAAAGTCTACTCCCAATTATCTAGCCTTTCTTTGTTGACCACTCTGCTTGACAAGTCTCCAAAGAAGGACTCATCCTTCTTTATACATCATATTTATTTAAAAAAACAGAAACAAAAAACTAGCAGTAATGAGGGCAAAGGAAAGAAAGACTAGAATGCAGAAAAAATTACCCTCAGTGTCCAATAAAGCACTAATATTACAAATGATACCGCAAAGCTCCTATTTCTCCCCCATATCTAGAGGAAAGGGATGGGGTGGATGGGGTACAGAGATCGTAACAAAGGCAACTGGCAGTTCAGCATCTGAAGCTGTGCTGCTAGTCTGTATCATAACGCAAACAGGGCAGAATGAAGTAAATGGGGAGATTCCTGAGGAGCACATGAAAGCTGACTAGGTATAGGCAAACAGGTATGTATGTAAGAGTAAAAAGAAACCTGAATCAGTCTCTGTAGGTCTCTATGTCTCTATTTCCAGGATTAATCAGAAGACTTTGAACTGGCAAGAGAGATTAGAAAACTACAAGTTCAATAAAGGTGTGTGTGTGTGTGTGTGTGTTTGTATGTGTGTGAAATGACCACAGCAATTAGGTATTATCCAGGAGATTAGAGATAGCAAGAAATTAGCTAATGAAAGTATGAGACAGTACAGTATATATCAGATACTGATGTATCAATCTATAAAATTTAAGTCTGATAACATGAATCAAAATCCTGTGGTTAAAATTTAGCTTTCAAAATGTAAAAATATGACAAACCTCTGAATCACAAGAGACCCACACTAAAATTAGTTGAGCTTAAACATCTCAACCAGACAGATTATCAAGAGTTCATGTCAAAACTCTAAAATATCCACCACCACATCAAACATATTTCATTTCATCCTGGTTCCATCACTTGTGTGACCTTGGTTGGACCAGTTACTTAAGCTTTCTGTGTCTCAGTTTCTTCATCTGTAGAAACAGGAATAATAGTATCTATCTCATAAAAGGCTGTTATGAAGATTAAATGAGTTAACAATATATATAAAATGCTTAAAACAGTACCTAGTTCATAGCAGGTACTCACTAAATATTTCAAACACTTTACTTTTATAAAATAATTCTGCTAAATAAAACTCAAGAGGAATTATGAAAAATGCTTAAATAGGGAAAGAGATAAAAATCCCTGGCAAAATTAACATTTCATTAGCATCTAGTAGACTTATGCACATTAATTCAAGTCACAATAGAATCTAATATTGCATGCAACAGGCAGAGTTTTTAATATTACTACAATGTTGTTTATGTGGCAAAGAAAACTTATTGATGAATAAAATTTTTGTTTTCTAAAATCATTAAAACTGAATGGAATTTAAATTAGTGAAAATAAATCATTCTAACAATTATCTGAATTCAAGTATGAAAAATTCTGGTAAGTATTAAATCTTTTAGAAACCATATTAGATTGATAGCATTAATATCTTGTTAGTTACCTTCTGTTTCTCCGAGTGATTGCTGGCTTGTTTGGTTGCCTCGGCCAGTAATTCTTCATACTGTTTATGACCTTTATATTCCCGTACCCGCTTTTCATGAACCCATGCTCTCTCTGGCTGGTTGCTAAAAAACTGGACATGGTATTCTCGGGCACCTATAAATAAAATTTCTTATTAAAAACTTCAGAACATAAACATCCATATATATTTTGTGAAAAATATGAACCTAACCCAGGTTCCTCAGTATTATGCTCATTAAAATTTGTTTTAGATTGCCCAAAGCCATAATTCAACAGTTATCAATTACATAAATAATAAATACTATAAAAATCACCCTAAATTATAAAAATTAGTACAGCAAATTTTAAGAGTGAAAAGTAGAAATTTGCTAATTATCAGATTTATTACTTTGGTTACAAAATTTTTTACTTGCTTCAAATCTTTTATAAATATGGTGTAAATAAACAATGTATCTCTAAGAAAAATGTCTTAGACTTTGAAAAGCCAACTACTAATCAAATTGCTTTTCTAACTATGTTAAAAGTATAGTACACAGACCTCGGAGCGGGAGGGTGTGTGTAGGTGGGGAGAGTCTCTGAGACTGTCTCAAAGGTACTGTGAGGTCAAAACTATTTTCAAAATAATACCAACATATTATTTGTCTTTTTCACTATGTTGACATCAGTATTTGATAGTGCTAAAGCAAGAGTGGATAAGACTACTAGCATCTTTGCACAAATAAAGGCAATGAATGGCACCAAACTGTACCAGTGTCCTTGTAGTCTTCATAGCCACACACTGACGGTTAAAAGAAAAAGTTTCACTTAATGTCCTCGATGAGGTAGTAAAAATTAGTTTTATTAAATCTCAACTCTTACATACAGGCCTTTTTAATATTCTGTGTAAGGAAATGGAAAGTACAGATCAAGTATTTTTGCATACTGAAGTATGTCTTGAGGAAAAGTACTTCTGTGATTGTTTTGAGTTGAAGGTGAACTGGCTGCTTTTTCCATGTAAGCCCATTTTTACTTGATAGAATGACTGACAGACAAACTATGGTTATCTGAATTTGAAGATCTGCCAGGTTTTTCTAAACAACAACAACAAAAAAAGAGCAATCTGTCACTTTGAGGAAAACAACATAGTATTAGCTGCTAATAATAATACTTAAACTTTCAAGCAAAATTTAAAATTTTGGAAAATTTGTATTTGTCACTTTGAACTTGCCTGTTTCCCAATGATCAAACAATTTTCTGGTAAAATAACTAGTGATATTAATAAATGTGATGTTTAAAAATATCTATACAGGAATGTGTCAACATTTGGAAGATCTACATGACTAAGCCAATATTTTCTAAATAACTAATGCATAATGTTATGAAATCATGCTAAGTAAAAAAGTCATTCAAAGTGCAAGAAAAGTCCCAAAGGATTTTAACATAACAAGTATAAAAAGCATACTGATATAATTTCAGATTCCACATTGTAATTAATCTTTGAAAACCAACCACCTGTTAAGTTTTGGTGTACTATCAAAAGAAAAACATTCACAATTATCTGAAAAGGCTATTAAAATAACTCTTTGCTTTTCCAACAACACATCTATGGAAGGCCGAATTATCTTCATATACTCCAACCAAAACAAGTCATAACAAAGAATCCAGTCTTCAATTAAGGCATTAAAGAGATGTGCAAAAATGTAAGACACTATCATTATTCTTGTTAATTTTTTGTTTGAATAAGTTACTTTTCATAAAAATCTTAATGTTAACATATTTTAAAATGAGTTAATAAAGTTTTAATTTTTCAGCTTTAATTTCTAAATTAAAATAAAGAGGGATTATCTAGAGGACTGTCTAAGACTATCACCCTGAGATACTTCAAAAACTTAAAACCAAAATTACACTAAGGTCACCTTTTAGCTAAAAACAGATTGACTCATAAAATAAAGAATATTACCAGTGAGTACTACATACCTTTAAAAAAATCACCTATCTGAGATCAAATGGTCAAAAATTACTCTAAAGCAAAGGTGAAAGATGAGAGGTGAAAAGATGAAAGGTGAAAGGAGAGAGGGAAATCAGATTACTAGAAATGAAATATCCAGAACAGAATTAGTAAGAATATAGATACATTATGAAAAATGTAACCAATGCTACTGAGCAATATGTGTGATAATTATTAATTAGGAACTTAATTTATTGTATATGGGAGCTCTGGTAGCGCAGTGCCTAAAGCATCTGATTGCTAACCAAAAGGCTAGAGGTTCAAACCCACCAGCCACTTCCTGGAAGAAGGGATGGGCAATCTACTTCCATAGTGATACCGCCTCGGAAACCCAAGGAGGGGTCATTATGAGTTGGATCCGACTTGATGACAGTGAGTTTAATTTATTGTATAAACTTTCATTGAAAACATAATAAAATACTATTTTTGGAAAACAGGAATAGATGTAACCCATATACGAAAGTATTTTGGAGTTACCAAATTTTAAGATTAAAAGGTATCCTTGGACCAAAACATTTGAGAATTGTTGTTCTAGAACAGTGCTCTCCAAGTGTAGTTCACAGAATAAGCCTGTCTGTGAAAAAATTAGTACAGAAGTTGTGAGTGAGTAGAAACTATGACAGCAATTTGACATTGCTGTGACATCCAGGAACACGATCACAGTCTTGTATTATGTATTTTTGGGGGGGAGAGGGGGACTTTCATTTTCTTAATTTATTTTTTACTATCTTTTACAGAAGTATTTGGCTTAGGTGACAGACAATTTTAAAAAACAAAAACCAGTGCTTTACTATAGGTAATTTAAAAAGTCCTGCTCTAGGGGATAAAGCATCAGGTCAAGAGAGAGATGTGGGAACTGGTCTTCTCAGGGAATCCAGAATGTGGGTATAGGTTTAAATTAACTTAATTATCTGAAATCAATTATATCTTGGATTTGATAGTTTTTATTTTTATTAGACATTAATGGGAGACTGGAGCCTTGGGTGGTGCAAATGATTAATATGCTGAGCTGCTACCCAAAAGGTTGGTTGGCAGTTCTGTCCACCCAGAGGCACCTCAGAAGACAGGCCTGGTGATCTGCTCTCAAAAGATTAACAACTGAAAATTCTTCAGAGCACATTTCTACTCTGACACACTTGGGGTTTCATGAGTCAGAAATGACTCAATGGAAACTAAGAAAAAAAGGGAGAGAGTATCTAGGGAATGATTTTGAAACCAGTTTAAAATTTCATTTGTAAAATAGCCTATTGAGTCAATTCCAACTCATAGTGACCCCCACAGGGTTTCCAAGGCTATAAAGCTTTACAGAAGTAGACTGCCCCATCTTTCTTCCATGGAGCAGCTGGTGGATTTGAACTGCTCACCTTCTGGTTAGCAGCCAAATGCTTATCCACTATGCCACCAGAGCCATACACACATACAACTTAGCTTTCTACATCGTCTAATCTGAGAAGAAAGAACCAAGTTCAAATCTGATTATAATTAATCTAAGAAAACAGATTAAAAGTTCAAGGGTTTTTATGGAGAAAAAACAGAAATGCAACCTAAACTGACAGATGAGTTTGGAGAATCCAGGGTGGTAGGTATAAAAAATCCAAACCAAACCTACTGCCATTGACTGAGTTGATTCTAACTCATAGCAACCCCTACTGGGTTTCCAAGGTGGTAAATCTTTACAGAAGCAGACTCTCCCATTTTCCTTCTGCAGAGCAGCTGGTGGGTTTGAACCACCAACTTCTGGTTAGCAGTCAAATGCATTATGCATTGTGCCACTTGAGGCAGTCAAAACCAAACCTGCTGCCATCAAGTCGATTCGGACTAATAGCGACCCTCATTGGATTTCCAAGGCTGTAAATCTTTATGGAAGTAGATTGCCTTATCTTCCTACCACGGAGCAGGGTATAGGCAGCAGCAGGGTTAAAAGAATATAGATATAATCTATTACCAAAATTCAGAGTTATTTATTAAGAAGCAAACCGATAACAAGGACTAAATTGTAGTTCACCACATGAAAAGTAAAGCTCACAGTTAACACAATCTCATTGTTGTTGTTATGTGCCGTCGAGTCGGACCCAACTCATAGCGACCCCTCCTTGGGTTTCCGAGGCGGTATCACTACGGAAGTAGATTGCCCAACCTTCCTTCCGAGGAGTGGCTGATGGGTTTGAACCACCAGCCTTCTGGTTAGCAGTCAAACACAATCTCATTATAACCTGCATTTTCAACTTTTTCCACTGATTACTAGAGTTGAAAAAAATCAAGCAATTTGTCCATTTGTTAGCATTGTTCCTGTTGACTCTCAGTAACAATCTTTGTTTATAAAAATACATAGAGAAAGACAATTATACCCAAACTCTTACTAGTAGTTATGTATCTGGAAGATGCAAATTTTTACCAAATAAATGTTTGTAAAGTTTGACTTTTCCCAGATATGCATGTAATATCTTTGTATCTTTATAGCTTTTAAACTTAAAATGAGACCTAAACAATGAAATTTAACTTAAAATAGAAATGTGATCCAGAATTTCTTTGAACATGATCTTACAAAGAATTATTATACCTTTATGTATGAAAACCATTAAATATATTTTCCAATAGTAAGAATCTGATTAATAATAATATAGAAATAAATGATTACTTTTATAATTGAGATAAATTTTACAAAGTAGGTTAGATAATAAGCAACCCAAAATGCTTCACAGTTATCATGTGTAGAACATATTAACAAAATTATGTTTTATGCTGTGTTTTTATATTTTTTTAAAAAACCTGTCAAATTATTTCATTTAAAAGTGTACTGCATATCTGTACAATGCAATTCTATTCCATTTATTAAAAAGGAATGAAGTACTGATAGATGCTACAACATGGATGAACTTCAGGAACATCATGCTAAGTGAAAAAAAGCCAGATATAAAAGGTCACATGTTATATGATTCTATTTATATGAAATGTCCAGAATAGGCAAATCCATAGAAACAAAAAATAGATTAGTGGTTGCCTAGAGCTGGAGGGTGGGGAATGATTGCTCATGGATACAAGATTTCATTTTTGTGGTGAGAAAACATCCTAAAATTAGACTGCGGTGATAACTGCACAACTTTGTGAATGTACTAAAAATCCTTGAATTGTACATTTTAAACGGATGGATGAATGGTTTATAAATAATACTTCAATAAAACTGTAATTAAAAAACTACTGCCGAGGAAGAAAAACTGAAAATATCAGAATATGATTTTTTAAAACCTAAAATCTCAGACTTCTGATTCCCTCAATCATAGTTTTTCCAGCATTAAAGCAAGAGATTGCCTATGGGTACCAGGCCAGATTAGCTTAATTAATAAAACTAAATTTAAATAGTGTCTTTGAAATACAGATGAGACATAAATTGTGCTTTTATTTGTATTCTGTAAAAAAAAAAAAAAAAGATGAAATTAGCAGGTTTCATAAAGTAATTAAATGTGAAAGTCTATATAGTCTATATAATCTCACAAGGATGCTTTTCTAAGAAAAGAGAATTGAAGTGTCACAATTCTCATATGATACAACTTCCTAAACAGCTCTGGAGGCCCAGATATGGACATGAATTGTTTCATCTAAGAACTCTTGGTCCTCTTGGGAAATCCCTGTTCCTTTCTTCTCCCACTAATAGAACCACAGACTGTTAGAGCTGGAAGATACTGAGATTATTAGTCCAACCCTCTTGTGTATATATGAAGGAAGTAGAACTTTCTGACTGCAACCTCTGTATATTGTTGAGTGGGTGATTTCAACTACTTTTTCTTTATTTAAAATAGTGTTTAAGAGCTGAGGTTATGGAATAAGTTTTCTTTGAAACTCTATTTACTTATCCAAAACACAGGATAAGAGTAACTACTTCACACTGTAACAATTACGAGGATTGCATAAGAAAATATGTGAGAATTGCTTAATGCAGTGCCTTACAGAAAAATAAACATTCAACAATGTTTTTTTTTTTTTTTTTTTACTTCTGCCCCATTGATGCTTCCAAGCTATCATAACCTTTAATCAGCAGGTTATAATGACAAAATAAAAGACAATCAAGTTGGATTGCCTTCTATGCCAGGACACATTCTTGGTAATGCAGCACAAGAGTTACAGATATGGCTGACTCTGTAACAAATCTGACTTATCAGGCAAAAGTAGACATTTTTCCCTCATAACAGTGGACATCTTTATATAACAGAAAAAGAAATAGGTGAAAAATTGTCACAGACGAGGAGTTCCCAAAGCAAATATCCAGAAATAAGTTACAATTGAACCTTCCTTTAGCTACTAAGCAAGTCCATTCCAAATGCTAGAATCTCAGGAATCCAATACACATCATATTTTGGTCAAACCATGGAAGAGGAAGAGAGATAAAATTAGAATACTTTTTCCTTAATGATTTGTATTAATACTCTTAAGACAAGATTCTATGCTACATAGGAGATTCAAGCTGTACTTGTACGGCAGATCAAATTTATAAGGATGCACCCAGCAAATTTACAAATTAAAAAATGTAATGGAGGTGGAAAAAGGCATTCTGTAACATTTATCAAGATGAAAAACAATTGTCTAGGAAACAATTACTATCCATAGAAGTCAATGATAAATAAAAATATTCAAAGAAGGCTTTGGTCCAAATGCGTATTAAGCTCAAGTAAGATATTTTATCACTTGGCTTTATGCTTTCTTTCTGAAATGATGAAAGGTCGGTCAGATTAAGATCTTTAAAAAAAATTATAAAGCAAATATAGGCCATTACCAAGGAGAGCTATCAGTGCAGAAGGAGCTCTGGTGGCACAGTGCCTAAGGCATTTGACTGCTAACCAGAAGGTTGGTGGTTCAAACCCACCAGCCACTCTGCAAAAGGAAGATGGGGGCAATCTACTTCTATAAAGATTTATCACCTTGGAAACTCAATGGGGATCACTATGAGTTGGAATCAGCTCAACAGCAGTGGGTTTGGTTTGGTTTTTATCAGTGTAGACACTGTAGAGTTAAGACGACCATAATTATTTCCAAATCAAAACCAAACCAGTTACTGTTGAGCTTATTCTGATTCATGGCAGCCCCATATGTGTCAGAGTAGAAGTGTGCTCCATAGGGTTTTCAAGGCTGATTTTTCAGGAGTAGATTGCCAGGCCTCTGTTCTGAGGCATCTCTGTGTGAACTCAAACCTCCAACCTTTTGGTTAGTAGTCAAACACATTAACTGTTTACACCACCCAGAGACTCCATAATTATTTCACTGGTTATTAAAAACTATCAGATGTGTGTATTTTTGTGTTAGGGTATATATTATGTGTGTAGTCTTATATTCACATACAGCACTTAAAATTTGCTTTCCTTTACTTCTAACCTTTTACTTACAACTTACTGTATTTTCTTACCTCTTGTGTTAATTTTGGTATGAACCTCAAGCTGGGGATCACTCGAAACCATACAAGGCCACCAAGGATATGTTCCCACCTTAGACCAAACAAGATCGCCAACCTGGAACTTAACACCAGTGGACACATCTGTTGTTGGAATGGAAGATAATATTGGCTGAACCTATAGGAAAAAGTTAACAAAGCTCCATTAACAGAGAAATTAAAACCCCATCCCAAATATTAAAAACAGGGTTGATAGTTTCTGTTCTGAATTCTTTTGCTGATAGGGCATCCTGAGAATTCACGGTCCAAAAAAAAAAAAAAGGTCACAGATTTGAAAAGAAAAACACAAACACATTACTGAAAAGATCCACCTCTTAAACTAGCGGTAAGATTTATTTTGAGAGTATACCTTCTGAAACAAAAATGTCCAGAACTATAAGAATATAACATGCTATAATTTCATCAGGGAGCTCTGGTAGCATAGTGGCTAAGGCACTTGACTGCTAACCAGAAGACTCGACGGCAAATAACAACAACAACAAATAATTTCATCACTCTGCTTTCACCTTCTTAGACCATATCTGGCTAGACAGTATTCAATAAAGAAACTCACCAGGGTTTCCTCTTTTAGTACTGGATCTTCTCTTGGTTTTTCTGACACAATGTCAACCCTCTCATTTGGTCTCTAGGTGGAAAGGTATAGGTGAGTAGAATAAAATGGCAGCAAACCAAGTAATAATGACATACGTTGTTGTTATGTGACTTAAGGCAAAAAAAATGGCAACCTAAATATCAAAAAGAATAAAGGATATTTATTAACTGAACAATACAGAATAAAAATACAATTTACACAGTATGATAGTATGTCTTAACATCCCTTTTCCATTTTATATCAGAGCTATATCTCTGATTTCTTATTCTATTACTTTTAAAACCTAATTTCTAATTAAACTGACATCTTTTTTAACGCATTAAAGAAAAATGGGCACCTTAGTTACTAGTAAGATATAACTTGGAATTTTTCTGGAAAGCAATTTGGCAATATGTATGAAAAGCCAGAAAATCCACTTCTAAGAACACATAACTTAAAAATCATTGAAATAAAAATCATTGAAAATATTTGTTCAAAGACATGCATCCCAGTACTACTCATAAGACCACAATATTAGGAACAATCTAGATTTTAAAAATGAAGAATTGGTTAAATAAATTATAGTGTAAATAGTGGACTAATATAAATAAATTTTTTAATGATATATGAAAATAACAATATAATGTTATTTGAAAATCGTAAATTGTGAAACAGTTTGTATAATATGATTCCAATCTTGAAAAAATTATTTTTCGATGTTCACAGAAAAAAGACTAGAAGGATACAACTACTATGAAAAACAGTATGGGACTTCCTCAAAAAGCTAGAAATGGAAAATACCACATGATCCAGAAATCCCACTCCTAAGTATATATCCTAGAGAAATAAGAGCAGTGACACAAATTGACATATGTACACCAATGTTCACCACAGCATTATTCACAAAAGCAAAGAGATGGAAAGAGCCTAAGTATCCAACAATGGAAGAATGGATAAACAAAATGTGGTACACACATACAATGGAATACTATGCAATAATAAATAATGAGTCTGCAAAATATCTTATAACATGTATGAATCTGGAGAACATTATGCTGAGTGAAATAAATCAATCACAAAAGGACAAATACCGTATGATACCACTTTTATAAAATGTCTAGAACAGGTTTATATACAGAAAGCAAAGTTATTTGATGGATATCAGGGATAAGAGGGCAAAGGAGGAAGAATCACTCACTAGATAGTAGACATGCGTTAATTCTGGTGAAGGGAAAGGCAATATACAACATGGAGGAAGTCAGCACAATGTAACCAAGGTAAATGAAAACACTGAGAGGTACACAAGAATAAAGGACAACTATAGTAAATGTTGTAACATGTACAATTCTGCAACAACAGTTTTAACAACAAAAATCTGTGAGTAGTTACATAGGTATGTATGCTATATAGGTGAGAGGGCATATGGGGTACATGTACATGCAATACAGTTATAACTGCGAGCATTTGTATATACATATTTATGTGCTGAGAATATATCCATATATATATAATAGATTACACAGGGGACACAGTTATGGAAACTACTTAGATGTATCCAAATACCTTGGGGGACTGAGATATTGGGCTTGAAGGCTAAGGACCATAAAACCATGGTCTTCGGAGTACCTGGTCAATTGGCATAACATAGCTCATAAATGTCCTACATCTTAGTTTGGTGAGCAGCATCTGGGGTTTTAAAAGCTTGTGAACAGCCATCTAAACAGCCATCTATTGATCTCTTCCCATCTGGTCTTAAATGTATTGAACTAACTGAGTGAGAAATTTAAGTAGCTTCTAGAAATAACCATACTCTTTTAGCAGAATTAAGACCTGATGATAGAATAAGTGACTTATTTTCCTTGTGCTTTTCTAGATTTGCCATAGTATCTACAATAAACATTATATTCTCCAAACATAAAACCCACAAATATATTACTAGAAAGTGCATTTCTGCAACTCTTTGGGAGTGATATTTGTAGAACATCACTGTTTCAACATTAACGAAACAGATGTGATGATACGTGGAGGAGTTTATTGATGGGTAGGAAAGACAAGTATTAAACAAATAAAAGACATGAATAAATATATATTTAGAAAGTGCTATGAAGAAAAATAATGGGGTGTGTGTATGTGTCCCTGTACTTAGATATAAAGATAAGGAAAAGACTCTGAGCCTAAGTAAATTATAATCTAAGATTTAAAGGAAAAGGAATTAGTTTTGGGAAAAGATCATTTTAGAAAGAGTGACATGTATGGGGCCATTGAGGTTAAAGAAGTTGGAAACTTACTAAAGCCCATTACATTAAGAAGGACTTAACTGCCTCCACAAGGCAAAAGGTTACAAAATGAGAGCAGAGAGGCTAGATTATGAGGAATTTGTAAACCATGCTGAAGTGCCTGGGTTTCATTTTAAGTGCAATGAAAGGCACTGAAGAAGTTTAAGAAGACTAACATGTATTAATTTATGTTTTAAAAAGATCATGCTGGTTGTTAAGTGGAGAATATTTTGGAAAGGACCAAAAGTGGAGGCAGAGAGTTTATTTAGAAGGTTACTGTAGTAGTCTAGATGATAGAGATAATGGCAACTTGTTGACAGATAAAAAATTAACTCATCAGATTCTTGTGTGCTGGTACCATGAATATGTAATCTAGCAGAACATACTATTGAGCAACCTAAGGAAGGTTGGGCAATCCTACTTCCATAGTGATACTGCCTCGGAAACCCAAGGAGGGGTCGCTATGAGTCAGGGCCGACTCGACGGCAAATAACAACAACAACAACAAGGGAAAAAAAATCTATGTTCAAATGAAAAGGTTTTTTTTTCTAATCATTAGAATAGTAACAAAGCAGTTTAGAAATACTGCTTGCATAGGTCGTTTGATAGCTTCATTTCATTCTATAAATGCAGCTTATATCTTCACATAACCTTCTCATTCCAGTCAATCTATAGCAAGAAGACAGGGCCACCTGAGGAAGTAAATATGTAGCCAAGAAAATAAGGTACCCTCCCTGGCATACTCAATTTCCAGATCTTTATAACTCTTTTTGAGGGCAGATAGATAAGATAAATCTTCTTATCTAAATACAGGGACACATACACACACCCCATTATTTTTCTTCATAGCACTTACTTTCTAAATATATATTTATTCATGTTTATTCAATATTTTTATTTCCTATTATAAAAATTGATCTGAAACCCATTCACAGTTTTCTTTCTGAATTAAAGACAGGGTTTCCTTGAAAACCTTTCTATGTTTTTGTTTCTTTGGTTTGTTCCAGATTGTTGGTGGTTTCTTTAGGCCAGTTTGAAAACCTGTTAAAATGACTTATTAAATTGAAAGTTTTCGCAGTCATTTTTAAAAGGAAAAAAGTGGCAAGGGAGAGAAAGCCCAAGGAGATTCATTCTAAATTTTAAAGATTATCTTTGTAAGAGAAAGGAAAGGAAAAAAAAAAAAAAAATCACATAAGGACACTGCAATGATAGAGACAAAATATGTAATGTTGTTTGTTATGTGCGGTCAAGTTGGACCCAACTCATAGCGACCCTTCTTTGGGTTTCCAAGGCTAGTATCACTACAGAACTAGATTGCCCAACCTTCCTTCCAAGGAGTGGCTGGTGGGTTTGAACCACCAGCCTTCTGGTTAGTACTCAAGTGCCTTAGGCACTATGTTACCAGAGCTCCTAAACCAAATATACTTCCATCGAGTCAGAACCAACCCATAGCGACCCCTCCTTGGGTTTCCGAGGCAGTATTACTACAGAAGTAGATTGCCCAACCTTCCTTCCGAGGAGTGGCAGGTGGGTTTGAACTGCCAGTCTTCTGGTTTGCAGTCAAATGCCTTAGATACCTGCCACCAGAGCTCCCCAAATGTGCTAATATGTAAGCAAAATAGAAATACTGGTTGGCCTTTTGAGATTGATAACTTAAGTTCTAAAGAAAGAGGAGAAATCAAGAGACAGTCATAGTATCACAAACACCAACTAAGAAGGGGAGAAGTTCTTAAGAAGAAATGGTCAATGGAAGTCAAATGCATAGGAGTTAAGAAATATAAGGCTGTCAGAAAAATGACAATAGATAAAATAGTTCTAGGTATAAAACTCGTTTTCATGCAATATTTCAAAGATAGTGGCAAGTTTAGAACAGATTAAAATCAAGAAGGAACAGAAAACATCTTTATTGGCACTAATACTGCTGCTGCTTTGTTAACAAGAGAACACATCAGGAAAAAAAAAAAAAGACAACAGTGAGTTAGCACTCCTTAATGTTCAATTCATCTTAATTTTAAACTTGTGGTTTTGTGGGTATATACCACTCTTACATCTGTAGGTGATTCTGCAGGGAAAGACCTGTTTTCCAGTTAAGAATCACAGTTTCTTAAACAGGAAAAAAACAAAAACAAACAAACAAAAAAACCACAACTAAAGTTAAGTTACATTGTCCTAAGTACTCCTTTTAAAAAACATTTGGTCGAGTACTTTTATTAAACCCAAGAAATTCATTGAGATCACCACTACGCATCAAATGTTGCAGGATTTCAAATCCTTAGTAATATTACTGAATAAATTATAAAACATTAAGCAAAATGATAATCACTAAAAGAACAAAAGACTTACATAAATATTAAAAGTGGAAAGAAAATTTTAAAGGAAATCGCCTGCCCATTATTTTAATTGCTGAATAGCTGCTTAAATTAATGATGTTTAAAACTAAAAAACTTGAACAAAAAGAACATCTTAAGAATCTAAGAATTTGAAAGCCTATTACTCTGAGACTAATGAACTAAGTATCACTCCAACTTAGGGTTAACAGAACTGATCTAGGCACTTGGCTTTTTAAAAGTGGAACTGGCAAGCTAAGAGTTAAAGAGGCTAGCCTTAGTGGATAAGCCCAGTGATATGAAGGTTAGTAGAAGATTGTTGTTTGAATAGGGCCTATATGCACATGCCTGAGGCATTACACCTGCCAAAGAGGAAGAACTGCAGAAACATTTCCACATGTTTCTAATTTGGCACAAGGAAAAACAGCTAAAGCAGCTTTACAAAATATGCAATTTTAGTAGTGATCTCAGGTCTCCTGCTGCCTAGATATTTGGACACATTTTCATTGTTTAAAAGATATACTTAGATTGTTCCAAGTAACAGTCACTTTTTAGAAAGTTAAATAGCTCTGAATTGGGAGGAAGTACTTGTAGACCAAGTACTAAAAGTGAAATCTTAAAGTGCATTATTTTAGATGAGATTTTGTTGGTTCAAAAGAGAACCTATGAGTGAGCTTTTAAGAAACACATATTAAAAATAAATAATAATAACTTTAAAAAAACAGCAAATCCAGCTCAAGGACACTCATTTCAAACTGTTTTCCCAGGTACCATTTTTATTATGCTTCCCTGAGGCATCTTGGGGTGAGGGAGCTGTCCCATGGAGTCAGCATCTTATTTGAGACTCTCCTTCACATCTACGCTCTCCACAATGCTGAACACCACCAAGGGTCTTAACTACCAGTGACAACCAGGAGGCACAGAATTATCCAAAATTAAAACACTGAAGCTGACTGTCCTGAAGGAAGCAGTACAGATGTTTTTCAAGTTGAGGAAACTCAATTAAAAATATTAAGGTCATACTACAGAGTAATGTGCACATCACTAGTCATCTGTATAGCTTAGCCAACAGGATGACACTAACAATAAAGCAAGTGCCTTGAAAGCTCTAGCTTTTAAGTTTCCTTGTCAGAATGGATACAACTTTTATGGTACCCATCTCTCAAACTTGTAATAGCCCCCATGTATGATAAATTCAGCTAATCAAAATTCAGTTAAGAATCTAATAAATAAAAACTTAGATCTTTACTTTTTGAAAGAAAGTGGAAAGGAGGAAAGGAAGTAGAGAGAGAGAGAGGTAAGAAAAAGAGAAATGTCAGGGAAAAAACACTGGATTTTCCAAACCCAAAACTCAACTTTCAGGCAATGGTCTTGGTAACATTCAGTGTGATCAATACCACTTTCTACATCTGTATCTTCCATCAAAATCGATGTTCCTTTACTTCAAGATATTGTTAATATCCTAAATCATCAAACAATAAATAATGCCCTGCATAATTCACTGGAAAACAAAATTAACTAAACTCTTAAATTATATCCAAATATTCTAACCCCTGGGTGTATCAGTTAACTAGAGATTTAAATGACATAAAGAACCAGCATAGCAGATAATCAATAAAAAACAAATTGCCTCTAAAATCTTATTGCAATGTAACTACTAGAAACATCACTGCACTAATAAGCAGAAAGTAGATATGAAAAATAACAGACTGTTTTATCCTGCCTCTAATTGCTTTGAAGTATTAATGTGCAAAAATGTCACTTTGAAGGCTACGGTGTGCCTGACCCAAGCCATGGTATTTTCAATAGCCTCAGAGGTATGTGAAAGCAGGACAATGAATAAGGAAGATCACAAAAGAATTGATACATTTGAATTGTGGTGTAAAGAAGATTGATTATACCATGGATGGCCAGAAGAACAAATGTGTCTTGGAATAAGTACAGCCGGAATGCTCCTAAGAGGCAAAAACGGCCAGACTTTGTCTCTTGTACTTTGGTCATGTTTCAGAAGAGACTAGTCCCTAGAGAAGGATATCACGCTTAATAAAGTAGAGGGTCAGTGAAAAAGGGGAAGACCCTAAACAAGACGGACTGACACAGTGGCTACAAAATGGGCTCAAACACAGCAACGACTGTGAGGATGGCACAGGACTGGGCAGCGTTTCATTCTGTTGCACACAGGGTTGCTGAGTCAGAACTGACTCAATGACACTTAACAACAATTGCTTACAATGTTTTTTCTACTTTGAGATATATTGTTAGCGAACTTTTATCAGTTAAGGAGCTCTACTGACACTGTGGTAAGGCATTGGGCTGCTAACCAAAAGGTTGGTGGTTCGAACCTACAGCCACTCTGCAACAGAATAAGGCAGTCTGCTTCAGTAAAGAATTACAGCCTTAGAAACCCTACAGGGGTTGTTATGAGTCTCAATCAACTCAATGACATTGAGTTTGATTTTGGTTTATCAATAAAGGTAAAAAGTCTAGCCTAATATGTAAAACTGGATATTCTCCTGTTTGCCAGATTCTGATTCTCTAGAGAAAAAGCAAGACAGGCCATTCTCAGGAACCAGAAAGCTAAAACCAAATTCCCTGGATTCCCAACAGACAAAGTGCATCTTCTATCTTTTCACTGCAGATGTAGGAAAGAAGTGCTACAATGAATGAATCTGGAGTGCAAAAAATAATTTCCCTCTTTCTAATGATTCAATTATTCAATAAACAGTCAATATAAGATAATCACATGAGCTAGGCCCTTTGTGTTTGTGTATGTGTGTGGGGGAGGGGGATATTTAATATGAGAAATTAAAAAGTATTTCAGAAGTCACTTACAGCCATTCCTCATTTATCAACATAGTTAGGTTCCAAAGACCAGGTTATTATGCAAAAATGGAGACCAACCACATCAGCTCACAAAATGGAGGATAACTACATCATTACATAACTGCCAAATTTCATTATTATATAACTGCCAAACCACTGAGAAACATGGCTTAGCCAAGGTGACAAATAACCTTAACCATCACAGCCAGTGTTACTCTCACCTTACACCTTGGTATTTGTTACCGCCAGATGTATGCCATTAATGCAAAAAATAGCCAGAGAGTAGATTTTTCACTATTGTCATGAATGCAGGACATCAGATAACATGGAAGTCAACAAGTGTGGAGTAGATGTAATTCCAAAGCCTTCATTACAGATGTAGAACTATGACAACAGGATATTTTCTTCATAACATGTAACTACCTGAACTTATGTAGGTATGTATTTATTTACAGGCTCCTCTTACTAGACCATAAGCACCCTGAGAGCAATCGTCTTTACTTTTCATTTATTGCTATTCCTTCAATTCTTAGAACTGTGCCTAGCAACATCATAGATAATCAGTATTATTAAATGAGTAATAAAAAGATAGAAAAAAGAAAAAATGCTGAAATGTCACATCAGACTTCTAAGAGTCCAGAACCATTGTGAATCTTACTCCAGAAAAAGATTACATTTGTGTTTGCTGAAGTAATGGAATCCAGTTACCAAAAAAAGGTGAGTTGAACAGAGGAAAACAAAGTAACTTATTTAGGCATTCTGCATATAAAATCAGGCAACTGTCAGAAAACTAAATATATGTATTTTTTTTCTTCCCAAATCAATCTGGAAAACAGGTGCAATTCATATAATGTATGAGAATACTAACTAAAAACTCTTCATTCAAGATAGAATTGATTTATTAAATGTTGACATTATTATTATTATTACTAAGAAATCATACAGAATGCCCTGATATTAAAAATTCAGTTGTATGCATTTAAGTTACTTATGAATGATGACTTTTATAAAAAAATGCATCTGAAGTTTTAATCAATATATATAAGTACTAAATCTGATTTTAATTTTAAAAATTTCCTCTATTACTTCAGGTTATTTTGTAGTGAACATTAGCAGTAAGTGTTAAATCTAAGCTATAATCTAAGTAAATGAATCTAAAATAGTAATTTAAAAAAACAATATAATTAATAATCTTCTCTTTGCCTTTCATCTTCATCTTCAAAAACCAGGAATTGACTATAAGCAAATAAAAGCAATCAAGGGTTAGAATGGGAGAACAATGTGGAATAAAACTCAAAATCATTTAATAAAAAAATAAAAGGGACCAGGTTTACTGGTCTGATAGAACCAGAAGGAACCAGAGACTATGGCTCCTAGCTGCCCTTCAGGTCTGGAATTGGACTCATTCTTGTGGCTTCCAGCCAAACAAAAGACAGGCATATGAGCTGAACATTTACATTAGGTAATAAGATACACTCCTTGGAGAGATCAATCATGAGAGAATAGAAGGGCTATATATATAGGAAGACAGCTCAGGAGGCAGGACTGCATGGGAGGGAAGGACACAAGGAAGAGGTAACTATGGGGAGGAAGTAGGAGAGAAGCTGTTGCATTGTGGGAAATTGCAGTCAATGTCATGAGACAAAGTGTACGTGAGCTGCTGCATGGAAAATGAATTTGCTCTGTAAACTCTCACCCAAATCACAATAAAAATTAAAAAAAAGAAAAGAAAGAAATGTTTGTACAAAAATAAATAAATAAATAAATCAAGGGGATCAGAACAAAGAAACATGGAGCAAGATTCTTAGTGTGACATGTTTTCAAAGTATTTCTTAACTCTAATGATGGTCATTAATTTATTCAACAAGTATTTACTCAGTACCTATTATAATATCCCAAGCACCTTGCTGGGGATTAGAAGTTATCAGAAATATTTATATTTGAAGAGATAAAAACTGAAATGATCTCTTGGGCTTCCAATAAATGTGAAAGACTACAAAGTTTTTCAGGAAGATGTTTTGACTTACATTTTGTTCCTCTGGTTCTAATTTGGGGATTTTGTGTGACTTGCGCTCTTCAGATCTAGATGAGTCATGCTTGTTACTTTTTTTCCTCTTTTCTTTTCTGCTTTCATGCTTTGACTTTGTGTGCTCACTTGCCTGTACTTCATTTAAAAGGTCTCCACAAAGGGAAGACTCGAACAATTCCCTGCCATTCTGGATAGTTTTGGTTATTTTGAGTTTAATCTCAGGTGAGCCAGTCTTCTTTGGAATCACAGTTTGTGGTACCGAAGGAGGAGGTGGTGGCTGTGGAGGGGATGGTTTTTCCAGAATTTCATGTGGTCTTGTGTTTGGGATTTCTGTGTGGTAATAGTCAGCAGGGCTAAAGTTTCTAACTGCACCAAAGCCATTGGCTGACCCATTAGGGTACTGATTATATGACTGGTATTTGGTTTGAGTTTCATACATGCTGATTGATGGTGGATAGCCATTTGTGAGTGGTGGAAGATCTTCTGTTGTAGGTGGGTACTGAAAGCCTTGCTGCAAGGTAGCTTCATACGGTGTCTGGCCACCATCTTCAACAATGTCACTGTTGTTATCAAAGGCATCCTCCTGACGGATGTTAGCGGAGTCAATGAGTTGAGGTGGTTGCTGAATTGTGTTTCCCATGATCCCTTGCATGAAAGAGAAAGAGAAATCCATTGTTCTGCTCCAGCATCCTTAATTTTCCCTTTCTCTCATCGGGCCTAAAATTTTAAAAAGAATAAAAGACATTAATATTCTCATGGGCAAGAAGTTAATCAATTGAAAAAAGATTAAACCAAAATGTTCTGAACCCAATTTTTATATCTAGTTGTGCACAGACACAAAATATTTCTAACCAAGTAACCAATATAATTCTGACACAAAGCAAATACTTTTGATCTTAAATGCATATCTGTTTGAAACTCTCAATTATTTTCACAACACCTTTGGTAACAGCATTTTATCCTCCTTGCAAAAAGGCAAAATAGTTTGACATTTCTGTTCCCAAGTTAAAGGTTCTATGTGTGAGGTTAAAACTGGTATTTGCAAAAACAAAGTAAAAAGGCCTATTCTTCTCCCCACTTGGCTATTTCCACTATTCTAGGCCATAAATAACCCTTATAGGTATTCTTCCAAATCTTTCTCTACGAATTTACGCATAAAATGAAAATAAAGTTTATGTTGTAAACTGCTCATTTAACTTAACAATATATCATAGATATTATTTTGTATCAGTATGTATACATATTCTTCATTCTTTAAATGGCTGCACAGTAAACAACTGAGATATCTACCATACTATTTAACCATTTGCATACTGGTAGATACTTAGTTGCTCAAAATTATTTGATATTGTAACAGGTCTACAGTAAAAATTCTTGAAACTGTATCTTTGTACATATATTTATTCTCATAAAATAAATGTGAAATTTTGTTAGATACTGTCAAACTGTTCTATCGGCTATGCTATAGCAATTTACACTCATCCAATAGTATAAAAGGATGAATGATTCTCTACACACTTGCCAGTATCTAGTTGTCTTTAACTAGTGATGCTCTGGTGGCATAGTGTCTAAGGCATTTGACTGCTAACCAGAAGGCTGGTGGTTCAAACCCACCAGCCACTCCTCGGAAGGAAGGTTGGGCAATCTACTTCTGTAGTGATACCACCTCAGAAACCGAAGGAGGGGTCGCTATGAGTCGCAATGGACTCAATGGCAGTGAATTTTGTTTTTTAACTAATGATATATATAGCAGAATCATCGGAGGGTACTTTTACAAAATGTGCATGTCAGGGTCTATTTCCTGAAGATTCTGATTTAGTAAATCTAGGATAAGGTCTGGAGCATGAGCATTAAAACCATATTCCAGGTGATCATGATGATGCACACTCTTGGTTGGGAATCACTGCATTATACTCTTACAATTACCACACCTCTGCCAAAAGGTGCTTAAAGATGTCTGCATTATGTAACTACGTTACAATATAGATAAGCATTTATTAGGAAATGCTAAAGACCATACTCTTTCATAAGGTTTGACAAGTCCAGATCTCAAGACATGAGAATTAATGGACAGTCTGGATATTTTGATAATTCTATTCTAACAGAAAGCTCTAAGGCAGAAAGAGTCTCACTACTGTAACAACAGCAACTGTCTGGAATACTGTACTGTGAAAGATTCTGATGCTATAGCATAGTTCAACTTTTGACTAATAATAATGTCTACCATCTTGGTTCCAGTAAACAAAAAACAAACTCACTGCAATCGAGTCAAGTCGACTCATAGCAACCCCCACTGGATTTTCAAGGAAGTAAATCTTTACGGAAGTAGATTGCCCCATCTTCCTTGATCGGAGAGCTTGTAGGTTTGAACCACCAACCTTCAGGTTAGCAGTCAAATGTCCTAAGCACCGTGCCACCAGAGCTCTTTTTGGTTACAATAGTGATAATAAAATAAGTAACTCAAAACAGCAAAGTAAAAGAAGAAACATAAGCTGACAACACATTTTTCATGGTGTATCCAATTAAATGGGAGCTCTGGTGGCATAGTGCCTAAGGCATTTGACTGCTAACCAGAAGGCTGCAGCCACTCCTCGGAAGGAAGGTTGGGCAATCTACTTCCGTAGTAATACCACCTCAGAAACCCAAGGAGGGGTCATTATGAGTAGAATCAACTCGATGGCAGTGAGTTTGGTTTTGCTGGTATCCAATTAAACAGCTGAATTTTAGAAGTTCTAAAATTGCAAACAAATGAATAGGAGTACATATAAAAAAATCAAACTGAATGTATTACTCAGCAGTGAAAGGCAGGGGAAAGGGGGTGATGAGAGCACTCTTATTTTCTTTAGCCTTTTCTCTGGGACAGGCATTTTATATATTATTTCCTATAATCTTCATAACAGCTCTCATAATATGGGTATAATTCCTGATCCATAGGTAAAAGAAACTGAGCTGCAGGTGGGTTAAATCACCTGCTTAACAATAAAGCAAAGAAGTGGCAAAAGTAGGATAAGAATCCAAACATATCTGACTCTAAAGCGCCTGATAGATTTTACCACTATACCGCTTCTGAAACTGACCACACATGCAGTCAAGGTTTATTGATAATTACTGGTGATCTGAATGTGAAAATTGGAAACAAAGAAGACACACTGGGGTAGTTGGAAAATATGGCCTTGGTGATAGAAACAACACTGGAGATTGCATAAAAGAATTTTGCAGGGCCAACGACTTATTCATTGTTGTTTTTCCAACAACATAAATGTCGACTATACACGTAGACAGACCTCACCAGAAGGAATACAAAGAAATCAAATTGCCTACGTCTGTAAAAAGAGGCAATGGAGAAACTCAGTATCATCAGTCAAAACAAGGCCTGTGACTGTGGAACAGACCATCAATTGTTCATATGCAAGTTCAACATGAAGTGGAAGAAAATTAAAACAAGCCCATGAGAGCCAAAACATGGCCTTGAGTACATCCCACCTGAATTTAGAGACCACATGAAGAACAGATTTGATGCATTTAACACCAGTGACCGAAGACTACACGAGCTATAGGATGACATCAAGAACATAAAGCATAAAGAAAGCAAAAGGTCATTAAAAAGACAAGAAAGGAAGAAAAGATCAAACTGGATGTCAGAAGAGACTCTGAAACTTGCTATTGAACAGAGAGTAGCTAAAGCGAATGGAAAAAATGATGAAATAAAAGAGCTGAACAGAAGATTTCAAAGGGTACCTCAAGAAGACAGACTAAACTATTATAATGAAATGTACAAAGTCCTGGAATTAGAAAACCAAAAGAGATGAACAAACTTGGCATTTCTCAAGCTGAAAGAACTGAGGAAAAAATTCAAGCCTTGAATCACAATACTGAAGGATTCTATGGGCAAGATACTGAATGATGCAGGAATCATCAAAAGATGATGAAAGAAATACAGAGTCAATGTACCAAAAAGAATTGGTCAGCATTCAATCATTTCAGGAGGTAGCATATGATTAAGAGCCAATGGTACTGAAGGAAGAAGTTGAAGCTGCACTGAAGCATCTGGTGAAAAACAAGGCTTCCGGGATTGACAGAGTACCCAGTGAGATGTTTCAACAAATGGATGCAGCACTGGAGGCACTTACTCATTTATACCAGGAAGTTTGGAAGATAGCTAACTGGCCAACTGACTGGAAGAGATTCTTACTTACGTCCATTCCCAAAAAAGGTGATCCAAAAGAATGTGATAATTATCGAACAATATCATTAACATCACATGCAAGCAAAATTTTGCTGAAGATAAAATGGTTGCAGCAGTATTCTGACGGGGAACTTGAAATGCAAGATGGATTCAGAAGAGGACATGGAATGGAGATGCCAGATGGATCTTAGCTGAAAGCAAAGAATAGCAGAAAGACCTTTACCTGGGCTTTATTGACTATGCAAAGGCATTTGATGTGTGAATCATAACAAATTATTGGTAACACTACAAAGAACGAGAATCCCAGAACACTTAACTGAGTTCATGAAGAACCTGTACATAGACAAAGAGGCTGTAGTTCGAACA